TCATTTCTCAAACATTATGAACAGCGTTGAAGAAAAATGAATAAGAATTTAAAAACCCACTCAGATCAGTTTTGGTCGCGCAAGACCGAAAGACGATTTACAGGATCGGGCGGTTTCTATGTAGAATTTGGGCATTTTGTTAATATTAGAGTAATTATTATGCTTTTAAACGACCATAGTCAAAATATTTTCATATCGACAAAAAAAATGGCAAAATGTTGTATTTTTTCGCATAAAGTACTGTGCCGCGCAAGACCGAAAGACGATTTACGGGATCGGGCAGAATCAGGTTTGTTGTATGTAGATTTTGGGTACTAAATATTTTTTGTGTAATCATTTTTGGTCTTTAACGTACCATGAATAAAAAAAATATAGTTTCATGTTGACCAAAAATGATATTGTGGGTTTCTTTTTCACCTATCTTACTGTGTCGTACAAGACCGAAAGACGATTTACAGGATCGGACAGAATCAGACGGTTTATTTGTAGAATTCGGGCATTACACTGCTTTTAGTGGAAATGTTTTGTTTTTACAAGAAATTAATATTTATGCTTTAAAGGGCTAATATTTATGCTTTAAAGGGCTAAATTAAAATACATGTTGGTTGTTAGTTTCATATTGACTAATACCTTTAAAAAAATATTGTTTTTTTTTTTTCGATTAACGTCATGTGTTGCGCAAGACCGAAATCTTTTTCACAAGATCGGGAAGAATCGGGCGGTTTATATGTAGAAACCGAATGTAATTATAAAATATATTATGGAAAATCAATAATACCTTTTTTTGTGCTGTGTTAATAATTTCAATTTTTTTATTTATAATTTTTTTCATTTATTTATCTATAAGCTTATTGCTCTATAAATTCCGTTGGTATAAATACAATGTAATTTCAAAGGCATATGTACAGTTTACGGCTGTCATTTGTAACCATTGGTGTGAATATATACTGACCGATTCACTTACAGAAAAGAAAACAATGACGAATCACGCAAGCATTATTGAAGAAGCGTAAAATGTATATGCTATGTTGACGTTGATACTTACATGTACAATAATCTTAACGAGAAATGTACGATGTAGCCATGATTTTAACAGAGACATTCATTCTTGATTTCGTTTATATGGGTTCAGAATGCTTTCAGATACTTTTGTAAATTCTCTAGAGGTAGGACGAGACGTCCGTATATACAATAATAGATATGATCGAAATTCGATTAGATTTTTAGAAAAAAAAAGATGTACGGAAGTGATAACTTACAAGTCACGGCTAAGTGCTTCGTTGTCCATTTGCTTTGTTTGTTTGATCTTTTAAACTGGTAATTCATTATCTACCATGGCTAATTATATCTCTTACCATGAACGCCTGTCTCTCTCTTATAAAAAGCAATTATTTTCTTACAATATTGCCATCATCTGTGTACAGCCCATAATTCAGACGTTTGTCAACACCACCCTAAAATGGCCCACGTACCACTTGGCTCGTCACCTGTGTACTGGACATAGGTAAGAATCGGTATACGCCCCAAGGCAGTTAACTTTCACACCTCGACAGTAGACCTTTTTCTATCCCCCGCTCCCCATCCGTCCTATCAGGTCTTTGCAGTGAGCGGCCTCACAGAGTCAATTTGTCGAACAGTGAATCTCTGTTCGTAACAAAATAATACTAATGAATTGAAATGACGAATCATAAAAATGACAAACGGAATATTATTGAGATTTTTAGTGCCGCGAATTTTACAAATTACTTTCTTCAATATAGGGTGATATTTCAGTTGTGAATAGCTCAGACAAGCGTTTTGTTCTTTAAAAAATCTAAAGTAAACAGAAAGTATTTGTCTCCGTGAAAAGTTAGCGTGATAAACTTGAAATTGAGATTTCAACTACTGTTTCTTTTGAAAAGATTAATGGGAAACTTTTGGAGAAAAACTGGTATATAAACACAGCAACGCTAATTTACTCTAATTGATACAATATTTCAATTGAATATATTCCAGAATACAATCATCTTACAGGAAATATCAATATATATATTGATTAGCACGTTTCGAGACAATCATAATAATCAGATATCAAAAAAGATACAAATACGCATTCCAGCATGTTATACAACTTGGAAAAGTCTAACACACTCACAAATCACTCTATTATACAATCCCGATTTTACTCGACAGAGTTGACTTTCAAGACTTGGTCAAAAGAAGATATTTAATTATGTTGGCGTGCTAGTATCGCATTTAGTACATTGTATATCATTATATTTGATTTGCAAAACAAATCACAGACTTGTTGCTTGAAAATTAAGAATATGGATTGATGTTGCAACAACCAAGCAAATGGATAACATAACAGCATTGACTTATTGACTGCTATTTATAAATGTAAGTCATGAATCTTAACGAAAAATAAAATGTACGAGTTCAATGAATTCGAGATTTGCTCTGTACTATGTATTTGTATTGGACAGAAGCATTGTCACATTTTCCCAAGTGTAATTGGTTACTTTAAGATATAGTTAACGGTAGATGTAGATCCCGTCCGATTCGAATCATTGATCAAGAGTTTTCAATCGTTAAAGTTTAAATTTGAATTGCTGCGGTAATAATCAATTGTACTCTTCAATTTCCCCCCAAATTCTAGATCTACTCGCAGTTTTACTTGTTTGGAGTGTCTTTATCATACGTCCCTGACTAAATCAGATGATTTCTTCACCCCCAACCTCCTGTTATGATTGACAGTTGCTAAAATCGGCCCCTAATTCTGTTATGTTTGACAGTTTCTAACATCGGCCTCTAATTCTGTTATATTTGACAGTTTCTAACATCGGCCCCGAATTCTGTTATGTTTTACAGTTTCTAACATCGGCCCCAAATTCTGTTATGTTTGACAGTTTCTAACATCGGCCCCAAATTCTGTTCTATTTGACAGTTTCTAACATCGGCCCCTAATTCTGTTATGTTTGACAGTTTCTAACATCGGCCCCTAATTCTGTTACGTTTGACAGTTTCTAACATCGGCCCCTAATTCTGTTATGTTTTACAGTTTCTAACATCGGCCCCAACTTCTGAGTTTTATTTCTGTTGCGTTTTTTGTACAGTTTATAACGCCGACATTAGCTACAATGGAGAAGTGCATAAGGCTCATATTTGAAGAAGAAGAAGAAGAAAAAATAGTGATTTGTATTTGTCTGATAATTTCAAACGAACGTCAGTTATATTTTTTACATTCTCGGCCACATCGGGTAAATGAATTACGTTACTAAAGGTAATTCATTTTCGTTTGGATTTTTTTTAGTTCTAACTTTTTTTTTCACTTGAGCGAAAAAAAAAAAATCCAAACATAATAGATTTTTTCACTGAAGGGGAAAACACATACTGGGAATAAAAATATTTTTCCACTTAAGTGTAATAGCACATTACGTAAATTAAAAAAAAAAAAAAAAAAACGCCATTGAAATGTAATTTCATCACTTATATATATGTATATGTTAACACACACACACACACACACACACACACACACATATATATATATTCTATCTATATATATAATATATATTACCAACATGACAATAAATTATTAAATACAGTGCGTAAGCTGGTGTAAACCTTTTTCAGAAATACGAATTAAAAAATTATATTTTTTTTAACCATAAAAGTTCACCCCAGACAAGGCCATTTACTACCATCAATGCAGGTACTTTGAAATTCACATTTTCCCAATAATCCCTGCGTGTCAAATCGCCCTTGTATCAAACACACCGTAGCCAAGAAGTCTTAACTTGCCACTCAGCGTGTGTTACTTTTAGTGAATGTCCGCAACACTGTAAAGCGTTTGGACGTTTCGTCTACGGCCATATACCTTTGATCGATGACGGATTCCGCCTTAAAGATGTCTGGTCCGCTAATATCGACACTTCATTTAATTATGTAGAGTTTCCGGATCCTGTTTTCGTCTTTAATTTTACTAAAAGTGCTGCACTTCCGGTTGTCAAACCAACGTCAACAAGAAGGTCTGCAGGTGGCTTTGCATTTATTTTCTTCTCTTTTCTCTTTTTTAGTTGTCATTGGTTGTTGTTGTATGAAATAATCTTTCTGTTGTCATATATAATTATATTTTATCTTCACAATTTGATATATGGTACTAAACTTTGTTTTGGGATTCCCGAAAAATGAAAATTAGGAAATCAGCGATTGACCGTTACTTGCATTAATTTGTTATACTTTAAATAGAGAACTTCGGAGCTCTGGCACCTTCTTGCTTTAAGAATAAGAGGTTTTGCTTGTAATCCATAGTTGCACCTTTTTGAATACCACATTACTCGGAAGGGTTCCGACTCTTTATCCGAGAAGTTATTTTTCTCCAATTCGACCACGAACAAGACAAAAATTACATCGCGGATAGATAGTCAGAATCCTTAAGGCTAATATAATGTAGTAATGACTTTGTTACATTTATGCATGTTGATATGAGCCTGCATAGGTCTATTTAAGTGATGAATATAGTATTGATGTGAAGAATGTTCTTTATATGTGTATGGTATATACATATACATTTTGTATATGCTTCGATTAAATAAAGTTATGAAGTGGTAATATACCATGGTCAGGGCTCTCGTTTAGGATACTTTGATGTCCATGGTTTTATAAAAGACTATTGAAATGATTGAAAATGAGATGTCACAAATCCTTGTCAACAGCTGTAAGCTCCCTCTATTTGATATTAATGGTGATCATATAATTATGACTTGTGGATGTATATCTCAAGAATCTCAATACCTGTTATTTCCAGCGCAATAACAATGTATATAATTATAATAATTGGTAAATCTTGTATGACAATGCTATTTACATGTATCAGTTATCCAGAGTACAAGTATTAACATATTATCAAGAGCCACATGATTGTACCAAAGTCAATTGTCTAATCAATCCTAGCTGTTTCTGAAACACTTCCGTTTCTACTCTTACTATTGATTTTGTAGGACTGTTGATTGGCAGAAAATGTGACAGCCAGAAGGATGAATTACTGGACAGCGTGTGCCTGTGTGTACATGATAACATACATAAAACAGAGAACAAGAATAAAATCCTAGGTACAGTTTCATCATTTATTTGTATAAACATTGAATGGTATCTTGATATGAAATATGTGTTAGAAGGCAGATATTAGATGTAAGAGGACAAGTATTAGATGAGAAAGAACAAGTGTGATGTGAAAGAAGACAGATATTATTTGTGAGAGGACAAGTATTAGATGTGAAAGGACAAGTATGATTTAGATGTGAGAGGACAAATACTAGACATGAGAGGACAAGTATGATTTGAAAGAACACAAATATTAGAAAGAAGATGACAAGCATTAGATGTGAAAGGACAAGTGTGATGTGAGGAAGACAGATATAAGATGTTAAAATATTAAGATATGTCAGATGTGAATGGACATATGTTAGATATGAGATAGGGTAAGTGTTAAATGGGAGAAGATATGTTAGAGAACATGTTTGATGTGAAAGGACAGCTGTTTGACTTTTTAGAACAGTTATATGTGAAAGTTTAGATTTTGATTTTTATATTCTAGCTTAACTTATGTACCACAATTTAAGATATGTTTAAAATAAGTTGGGCAGCATTGACGTGGTAATATTTCAGAGGAAATTAAAAAAACACTCACTCACCCATTTTATATTTTTGGTTCTAGAGGTGCTTCTTTTTTTGATAACTGTTATAGATGGCTTTTTTTCCAGGTAGGTATCATTTGACGTAACACTTACCAAGATGTTGGACAGACAGATCTTTACGGATAGCCATGCCAAGTCCATTCTCACTACCATGAACAACCTTCGCAAGATTAATAAGTTGTGTGATGTCATATTGCGTGTGGAGGGACGAGACTTCCCGGGACATCGCATTGTGTTGGCAGCATGTAGTGATTACTTCTGTGCTATGTTCACCAATGAGGTATCCTTATTTCAGAATTTGAATACTTTTGCAACATATACTACCACTATTTCCTTATCAACATGCTTATGGTGGAACAATCTTTTGGGGTGATATAGTGTTACCTGAGTCTAATCTGCCTGTCACATCCTTCCTGCTGTGTACCACCCTAACACATTTAATATCACTATCATCACTCTGAAGGGAGAGCATGGAGTAGGCACTTTGTCCATCCCTCTGTCATAATTTTGTCAGAAACATACACAAAAGCTATAGGAGGTATTATCATGAAACTTCATAGGTAGATTGATCTCAACAAGGAGAAGTGCAATGCACCAGAATTATCACTCTCTTTTGCATGACTTTGGAGTTATTGCAGTGGACAGTGCATAAGAATTATATTATTGCCCTTTCTTGTTTTTGATACTTAAATTTTGTCCCAATTTGGGAGCATAACCTGTCTCTGACTGCCCTTGTTATTTGAAAATTGTGATAAAGCTTAATACAAATTTCAGCTTGTAGCTACAACACCTCATATGAGTTCATGTCAAAGTAAGAACTCTAAGGTCAGGGTCATATTATTTATAGAAAGTCAAACTTAATTGATATCAATTTCAATGCAGAGTTTTATATTTATTTAGTTTCTAGTGGATGCTATTCAACTCCCAAGACATCAATTAATCATTCCAACTGTTGTTTAAACATACCTGTTATACCACATATTGCATAACACTTTGGTATGTTTTAAATGGCTGACAGGATGGAATTTGATCGAAATGGCACTTCACACACTCATGGATATTAAAACTGGCAACAAATAGTTCACAATAGTTTTTGGTAATACCCTTATATTTAACTGAATTTCTGTTCTTTGTTTCCTTTGAAGATGTGGCTGGTGGTATAGTTACAGAATAACATCACGCAGAAGTTTTGTTGAAGGGCTTACTATAGAGACCAGGGACAATGTTCCAATATGATGATGAATGATGTAACTAGTATTATGTTGCAAAGGCTCTCAGTCATAATATTACAGCCCATCTGATTATGTAAACGATACACATGTAGGTACAGAACAGGTAAATTTAACATCAGCAAGGCGCTTAATTGTGAAAGAAAAAGATGACTTGTATATAGACAATGATAATGTGACTTCAGAGACTGATATTTTGAGTGCTGATTGGAAAATTACTTGTTTTGTATACACGTGTCTTGATAATTTGTCATTTTTTCTATGTATTTTGAGAAAAATGAAAGGAGGAAAACCGATCATTGCAAATAGATTTAAAATCAGGTATGATTTTTCCTCAATTGTAAATTATCATTTGTATCACTTTTAGATGTCAGAGAAAGACAAACAAATCATTGAGCTACACGAGATCTCCAGCAGTGTGATGGAAGTGTTATTGGACTTTGTCTACACTGAGACTGTCAATGTGAGTGTGGAGAATGTTCAAGAACTACTGCCTGCAGCCTGCCTACTGCAACTAACAGGTATGTAAGTCTCCAACAACTTACAGATATGTCTGTCCCCTACAACTTACAGGTATGTCTGTCCTCTACAATTTACAAATACGTCTGTCTCCTACAACTTAGGGTACATCTGTCTCCTACATATAATTGGTATATCTGTACCGTACAACTTACTGGTAAAAAAATTTGCATTGAAATGTTATTGTGCCAAAATAAGTATGACATTTGCTTTAATCTTTTTGTACATAATATAAATCCATCAGACTAGTCCATGCTGATTTGGTTGTTTTCTTGGGCAAAACACTTTATCATAATTGCTTTGGATGAGATGCGATGTTCATTATGCAATGCATATTGTTAATTGAAATAACCACCAGCTAATTCAAGGACACTCTGCCTTTGGCTTTTAATGGGGATAAACCCCTGTGATATGAAGGTGAAATTTAGTGATATCTTTTTGTTATTAACTGTTTGGTTCCAGGTTGTAATGTTAGTTAAAACATTTGCTCACAGTTTTAAAAGTAAGCTGAGAGTGTAGTACTCAAATTTCTCAGTGCAATTGTAAAGAATTTACTTTGTACATAGGAGTGAAGCAAGCATGCTGTTCCTTCCTGGAGAAACAACTTGACTGTACTAACTGCTTGGGAATCAAAGTGTTTGCTGAACAACACTCGTGTGAATTGTTGCTAGCTGCTGCAGAGTCCTTTGGTCTCAAACATTTTGAAGAAGTTCTTATGCAGGAGGAATATCGAAACCTTCCTTTGGAACAAGTCAAGTCACTCATCAGAAGTGATGAACTACAAGTAAGAGGTCATTTCTTGTGCAATCAACAACTAACAATGATTTCAGAAAATCTTTGTAAATTTTCGCAGCAATTTCATTATAATTTTATTGATGTTATTGCATTGTGTGATTATTTTAACATGATGTCAAAAGTTTTTATGAGATATATTATGGTATGGCATTGTCTAGAGATTTCCAACAGCAGATATTCTCTCTTAGTTTTCAACCAATGAATTTCAAACTTTGTACGCTTAGTTAGAATGACTTGATGTAATTTTTAAGTGAATGACAGTTTGATTCATAAGTAATTATTAGATTTATTGTCCCTTGTTGTTTTCAATATGTCATTGTAACCTACAGGATGCCTTCTCTCTTCTTCTCAACATAACTCTTCAACAGGGATCTCTCAGGCTTAATCAGATGTTGTGTATTCCTGAATGAGAGATTGATTTGCCAGTGTAACTAAGAGTTACTGATTGAAAGTTGGGTGGAAGGGGGAATTATAGTTTTCCTCTCTGTTATCCATCCCTGTGTCTGTGAAATTTGTCAGCACTTTGGCAGCATTAATTCCTTGAGGGATTTTCACCAAACTTCACACACATATAACAAACATCAAAATATATTGGACAAATGGGAGTTTCAGTGTAATCATTGCTGGGTCAAGGTCAAGGTCACCATAACAATTTTTAAGAATTAATTCTCAACTGGCAGTTTAATTCCTTATGGGATTTTGATAAATCTCAAACACACACATATGACCATCACATGTTATCACACATGGGTAATGAAACTGTATTGTCAGATTGACATACAGATTTATTGTATTGTTCGATTGAAATCAGTTAAAATGAATTTGTATCTACCCTTTTGTGATGTTATATAGGTCCTATTCTTTTGTGACTTCTGAAAGGCCCTACTCCTTTGTGAAGTCAGAATTTTGTCCAGAGATCTTTCTCTCAGTTTTTAACCCATCTCTTTCTTGATGGATTAATCACCATTACTTGAAATCTTGTTTTCTTAAGCAATATGATTGTCAATTTTTTTCAAAGAGTTATTGCCCTTTAATTTTTCAGTATTTCAATCTTGTTAAAGCATGTATCACTAAATATTAATTGAAATTGATTCTCTTTTGTTAAATCTTGAAAATTGTTTAAAGCATCCATGTGTTTTTCATTAAAGGTGAACTCTGAAGAACCAGTGTTCAATGCAGTGATGACATGGGTAAAATATGACCCAGACACTCGTAAGGAATATCTGGCCCAACTTCTGCAGCATGTCAGGCTAGCCATGTTGTCCGCTAGATTCATCACAGATGTTGTAGATGATGAGGTAGGTATAATTATCATTATAATCCTTCATACCTGTTGGTCAGAGATAGATACAGTGGTTCCATTTCCAGGTCATATCAGTGGCATCACTTAAATTGTTTTCAGAATGTACCAAGACCACATGTAACTTGTCTCAACCCGACGGTGAGACAAGAAAATCTGATAACAGTAAAAATCATGGATTTACCTGCCCAGGGTTAGAGGCAAGGAAATCTCATACAGGTAAAAAAAGTGGATTTACCTGTACAGGGTAAGAGACAAGGAAATCTCACACCGGTAAAATATGTGGATTTACCTGTACAGGGTAAGAGACAAGGAAATATCACACTGGTAAAAAGTGTGGATTTACCTGTACAGGGTAAGAGACAAGGAAATATCACACCAGTAAAAAGTGTGGATTTACCTGTACAGGGTAAGAGACAAGGAAATATCACACAGGTAAAATATGTGGATTTACCTGTACAGGGTAAGAGAATGTAATGTCTCGGGACAAGTTCAAGTTTCAGTGGTGTAGGGTAAAGGTCAAGGCTACTGTTACTTTATTTAGAAAATCATTGTCAGAATTCAAGCGGCTTATTTCTTGATTGGTTTTCATCAAACTCTTATAAAGGACCTTAATATCACAGACAAGTTTTGAGTTTCAAGGGTGTACAGCAAAGTCACAATAAGTATTTAAAGGAAATTCTTGTCATCTCTCTAGTTGCTTCTTCATTTCTTTAGGAATCATAATACTCACACAATCTGCTTCCTTCATGACAATGCTTAGGTCAACATGGAACAACAAGAAGTACTGTATTGTTTATAATGCCATGTTACATTTAAGCACAACAGGAGAAGCCGTTGGCCATGTCCATGTAACTGATGGGAGCAAGCTTGATAAAAAAAAAGGAATTCTTTTGGGACTTATGAATTACATTTATACATTTATATGAAGTAACATGCCAAATTAAAACTGTGCAACAGCTGAAATACTTCCAGCATAGCACCATTTTTCTTTTGTCTTCTTGATAATTTGCATTACCTTATTAGGCAATGTAGAAATCTATACCACTTTCAAGATAAAGTTTATGGATATATCAGATCAGACTTCCAATGATCCAACAATACTTATAATACCTTCAAACTATTTACTACATATCACCATTTCTTGCTTACAGCCTTTGATAAAAAGATGTCATGAGTGTAGAGATCTTCTGGATGAAGCCAAGAAGTTCCATCTACGACCTGACCTGCGGTCCAGCATGGTTGGACCAAGGATGAAATCAAGAATAGGTATAAGTGTAGTTTGTATGCCCAGCCATCTAGAAGCAGAACTAGATTAACTCCTTTTGATAGCAAAAATTCTAATTTGGGTATGTCAAAAACCTCTAAATGAAAGAAACTCTTTTCTTTGAGATATAAAATACAGTGATCTATATTGTAATTTATTTTAATAATATAAACGAAAAAGGGAGACATCTGCTCAATTAGTAAATGAAACACTTATATCTCAAGAAAATCATGGCAAAGAGACGACCACTTATTGAACCAAAATTATGAACCCTCCTCCAGGCTCAAATAAGTGACAATCTGGAACAATGAAAACCCCTTCTGACTCATATGCATGCTTAAAAAACATTCTGAGATGTCTATGCTGGCAAGACCAGTGTACGACATTCATGATTTATTGGCACTGTGACATTCTGGTGATGATAGAAGGGTTTGGGTCTCATTTAAACATTGTGTGCATTGTCTGTCATTTGAATATGAGAGGGTTTGTGTCACACCAAGACCTGGTGTACAATTTCTGGTTTGTTGATGGAAAGGCTGAGGTCACACCAGGACATGGTGTACAATATTAATGTTTTGTTACAGGTACAGACAACATTCTGGTGATGATGGAAGGGTTTGGGTCACACCAGGACATGGTGTACAATATTAATGTTTTGTTACAGGTACAGACAACATTCTGGTGATGATGGAAGGGTTTGGGTCACACCAGGACATGGTGTACAATATTGATGTTTTGTTACAGGTACAGACAACATTCTGGTGGTGATGGGAGGGTTCGGGTCACACCAGGACATGGTGTACAATATTGATGTTTTGTTACAGGTACAGACGACATTCTGGTGATGATGGGAGGGTTCGGGTCACACCAGGACATGGTGTACAATATTGATGTTTTGTTACAGGTACAGACAACATTCTGGTGGTGATGGGAGGGTTCGGGTCACACCAGGACATGGTGTACAATATTGATGTTTTGTTACAGGTACAGACAACATTCTGGTGGTGATGGGAGGGTTCAGGTCACACCAGGACATGGTGTACAATATTGATGTTTTGTTACAGGTACAGACAACATTCTGGTGGTGATGGGAGGGTTCGGGTCACACCAGGACATGGTGTACAATATTGATGTTTTGTTACAGGTACAGACGACATTCTGGTGGTGATGGGAGGGTTCAGGTCACACCAGGACATGGTGTACAATATTGATGTTTTGTTACAGGTACAGACAACATTCTGGTGGTGATGGGAGGGTTCGGGTCACACCAGGACATGGTGTACAATATTGATGTTTTGTTACAGGTACAGACAACATTCTGGTGGTGATGGGAGGGTTCGGGTCACACCAGGACATGGTGTACAATATTGATGTTTTGTTACAGGTACAGACGACATTCTGGTGGTGATGGGAGGGTTCGGGTCTCATCAGAACATGGTGGAGGTGGTTGAGCAATATGACCCAAAATCTGGCGAGTGGAGACGACTCCCAGTAAGTAAGATAATTATATATGATGCTAAGTTTTTCAGTCTGTTCCCATGGAATGAAGGTCTGAGTCTACACCAGCTGAATCCAGAATTTTTGGAGGCAAAGTTTTGATAATTTCTAATGTTACAATCCTAACTTTTTAGTCTGCAAAAATCACATTCGCTTGATAGGACATACTTATTAAATGTATTGGATATAGTTATAAATAAATTTCTTCTCCTATCTAGTCAGGCATGTGCATTGAATATTTGGCCAGTTCAGGAAGGATTCAGTTTACAAAAGTTAAATAATGGGTGTCAAGAGTGATGACAACAGCTCCTTTCCAATTCACGATTTATTCGTGCAACGGTGGCTTACATGTTTCGAGTCCAAGCGACTCGTCTTCAGAACAACAGCCCCAGATCGTTACGTCATCATATTAGTTGGTTATGTCATAAATAATGGTAGAAATGAGACGTAATGATCTATTAGATAAGGTGGAAGTCACTGAACTCTATAGAGTTAGCGGTTTACAATTGATTTAACTATACTGTCTGGGTTATAGAATTAAAGACTCTAGGTTAGAGTCTTCTGTTGTTATCAGTTACACAATAACAATATTATAGCATTGGAATAGATAACGATCGTTGAGTGTGACGATATGATATATATGTAAAGCTAACACAGTGACTAACAATGTGAGTACATCGTAATAAATAATGAAATAAGAAAGAGTTCATAATTAGAATGAGATGAAACTGGAATTAGTAATAACAGTTCTAAAAATAGATGAATATTCAGTAAAAATAGATGAGTATCATATACGTCGGTCCGTATACAAAGTTAATGTTCAATGGTTGAAGTAGATCACCATGAAATAAGATTGATCAAATAAAGACTTAATTATCTGATTATTTAAGGTTGAAAATTGTGAACTTGTGATCTATAAATCAGGAAAGTGAGTAACAAGGAAAGAGAATTGGTTTTTAGTGTGCAATAGAAGAGTTGTCTGACTGACGAAGGGGGCTGGTTTGTCTACCAAACGAAGGGGGCCAGCTTGTCTGACTGACGAAGGTGGCTGGTTTGTCTAGCTGACAAAGGTGGCTGGCTTGTCTACCTAACAAAGGTGGCCGGCTTGTCTGACTGACGAAGGTGGCTGGCTTGTCTACAAAACGAAGGGGGGCAGCTTGTCTACCTAACAAGTGTGGCTGGCTTGTCTACCCAACGAAGGGGTCAGCTTGCCTGACTGACGAAGGTGGCTGGTTTGTCTAGCTAACAAAGGTGGCTGGCTTGTCTACCCAACAAAGGTGGCCAGTTTGTCTGGCTGATGAAAGTGGCTCGCTTGTCTGCTTAACAAATGCAGCCAGCTTGTCTGGCTGATGAAGGTATCAAGCTTGTCTGACTGAAGAAGATGGCTGGCTTGTCTAATTGGTGAAGGTGACTGGTTTGTCTACCAAACGGAGGGGGCCAGCTTGTCTGACTGACGAAGGTGGCTGGTTTGTCTAGCTGACAAAGGTGGCTGACTTGTCTACCCAACAAAAGTGGCTGACTTGTCTACCCAACTAAGGTGGCTGACTTGTCTACCCAACTAAGGTGGCTGACTTGTCTACCCAACTAAGGTGGCTGGCTTGTCTTCCCAACAAAGGTGGCTGACTTGTCTACCCAACAAAGGTGGCTGACTTGTCTACCCAACAAAGGTGGCTGGCTTGTCTACACAACAAAGGTGGCTGGCTTGTCTACCCAACAATACCTAACAAAGGTGGCTGGCTTGTCTACCCAACAATACCTAACAAAGGTGGCTGGCCAGTTTGTCTGACTGGCGAAGGTGGCTGACTTGTCTTGTTGATTAATTGAAGATGGCTGGATTGTCCAGCTAAGAGAGGTTAACAAGTCCAGTTGCAGGTGACTGACTGACATCTCTTTTGTCATCCAAAATATTCCAAAGTTATGTTTTCTGTTTTTCTTGCTTTTGCAGAATCTGACAAAGAGACGGCGATATGTTGCTGCTGCAGCTTTAGCAGGGAAGGTATATGTGATAGGTGGATATGATGGACAGTCACGTCTGAACACTGTTGAGTGTCTTGACATATCAGCAGATGATCCGGTATGGCAAACTATTGCACCCATGTCTCACAGGAGGGGACTAGCAGGGGTGTGTGTGTACAAAGGTAAGTTATATGGAGTTGAATTTTTGGATTAATTTGTAAAATTAATTACTTGTTGTACACACACATTATATTATTTTTGGTGAGGCAAATCAATGGTCAAACCATAAATGAAGACAGATTCCAAACTTCTACTATTGTGTCTATCATGCAGTAAGCCCAGGGCCAAATTATCTGAATAAAAAATTCAGGGATGGGCTTATTACATAACCTCAGGGGTCAACACCTTACTCCTGATGCCAAACAGGTGACAGGCTTATTACAGGATCTCAGGGGTCAACACCTTACTTCTGATGCCAAACAGGTGGCAGGCTTATTACAGGATCTCAGGGGTAAACACCTTACTTCTGATGCCAAACAGTTGGTGGGCTTATTACAGGATCTCTTCTGACTCAAAGTTATGTTTAAAACTTCTGACTTGGGGTTTGGCTTATTACAGTACCTTAGGGGGAAACACATTACTTCTACTTCAAAGTCAGGTTTTGGCTTATTACAGTACCCTGGGGAACCACATTACTTCTACTTCAAAGTCAGGTTTTGGCTTATTACAGTACCCTGGGGAACCACATTACTTCTACTTCAAAGTCAGGTTTTGACTTATTACAGCATCCTATTACTTTCTACTAAAGAAAAGAAATGGGCTTATTACAGTACCCCAGGGGGACAACACATTATTTTTACTCAAGGCAGGTGATAGGCTTATTACAGGACCCCAGGGGGACAACACATTATTTTTACTCAAGGCAGGTGATGGGCTTATGACGGTTCATGGAGAATCATCAGTTTATAATATTACTGGATGTCAATATACCTGGGAGGTCTAATTATCAGACAAAGGGGCTATCTAAATAATAATATTACTATGCTTTGATTTCAGGTGAGATCTATGTGTGTGGTGGGTTTGATGGGTTCACACGCCACACGAGTATGGAGTGCTACAACCCCCACACCAATCAGTGGCACATCCTTAGTGGCATGGCCGTTGGACGAGAAGGGGCTGGCCTGGTGGTGTCGGGGGATAAGATATACGGCATTGGGGGTTACGATGGAGTCAACCTGCTGGACTCGGCAGAAGTTTATGACCCAGTGAAAGAAGAATGGTCCAACATTGCACCAATGTCCACCAGGCGATCAGGTTGGTGGTGAGGTTTACAAAATTGATAAAGAGAGAATGGATTGATATCATTTCAGTTCAACAAGTGAAAAAAACTTCATATGATCATCTAAGATTATCTATTAATTTTGCAGATTTAGGTAAAAAGTATATATCACATACAATGTACTCACAAAAGACTTTTTTACTCTCTATGATGAGATTAACTTTAGCAAATTATTTGTAAGATCAAACAGAGTTGCCAGAGACCATATTGAATTTGGCAGGAAAAGCTTATTATCACTGCTTCTCCAAATCTATCAGAGAAGATATGTTAAAGTTTTAGTAGTTTGCTCCCCTTAGAGTTGGTTCGTGGTCCTTACTAATACTCAGTTGTACGTTATCTTGGGAGCATATATACCTGTACAGGTAAATGAGGTGTTTGAATCATGAGGTGTCAATGATTGTGTTATCATAGCAAACAATCTCTGAAAAACTTTTTGATACATTGAAAAGTTCTATTTATATAACTTTGATTCTTAAAGGAATAAGATTTGGGACAGGACAAAATCTTCAATACAGTGAGATTTTCAAATCATCGATGTTCCATTCATAGAAGTTTATCTATAGTACACTATTTCACACATGATCATCAAATTTGTTCTGTGGGTACATCCTGGGAATTTGGATGTTACTGTTTGAAAATTTATCTTCCTGACTTTTATTTGGACCTTCGACCTTGTTTATAAAATAATATTTCCAACGTTGTGGTAGTACTCCTTTGGAATATAGAGCCCAGCTAAAAAAAGTAAGCATAATTAAGGTTGAAGGTAGAGATCAGTGAACAACATCTGACAGATGTTATCAACAAAATTCATTCTCTGTCATGTTTGGACATATCATACTTTGTTGTCATGTTATACTGATGTAGAGATAGAGTGCCAGTTTCTCATCAAATTTGTGAGTCATGGAATATGTTATTTTAACAAGAGGCCAAGGTGCCTAAACAGTCACCTGAGTGAACATACAAATAAAAAAAAACGAGGTAGGTATTGTGTATTAAGTCTGTCAGTGCCACACACTGATCAGGGTAGGTATTGTGTATTAAGTCTGTCAGTGCCACACACTGATCAGGGTAGGTATTGTGTATTAAGTCCGTCAGTGCCACACACTGATCAGGGTAGATATTGTGTATTAAGTCTGTCAGTGCCACACACTGATCAGGGTAGATATTGTGTATTAAGTCTGTCAGTGTCACACACTGATCAGGGTAGGTATAGTGAATTAAGTCTGTCAGTGCCACACACTGATCGGGGTAGGTATTAAATCTGTCAGTGCCACACACTGATCGGGGTGTGTATTAAGTCTGTCGTTGCCACACACTGATTGGGGTAGGTATTAAGTCGGCTGTATCCCGGAACGCATACATATCATAAACATGTACCTGGAACTTTGTTTTTACAGTGATTATAGTCTATATCATTAATGTTAGTTCGGTTTATCTGTGTTTTTACCTGTGGTTCTCACCTGTACATGTATAAAAAAAACTCAGCCAAAAAAGGAAATAAAATAAAATAATTAAAGACGTTATATGATAAAAAAAATATATGGTGACATAATGTACATGTAATTATTATGCAATTTTTAATGATGTTATATCATTTTTGTTGTATATTCCAAAATAATATAAACTATTGTGATATCATTTCCACTACATAATTTTATGTTATAATATTTTTGGGTTCAGATGACATTTTTCCAGTGAAATGATTTAATATGAAAACTGTTTACTTATCTTAGTTCAGTCTTTTAAAACATGATTCAAAGTTAATTCAATTTATTTCTCCTTTTTACAAATGTACATAGAGAATGTCATACAAAACACATATACAACAATTAAAGGTTCACAGAGGCTGAAACATTAATAATATATATAACTGATATCATGGAGGACAAACAATTGAAAATATAAATCTTCTGAATTTACACATTTGTTTTAGTAATTCAATATTATTTGTATTCATCAATGATTGGAATTTAATTATATTTACTCTTTAACAATAATATTCACCTTAAGTAATACTTCCTTTTACTGAGAAATCTAGAACATTTTAATAAATAATGAAATTCATCTCCAATTTTATAATCATTACAATACGTACAGAATCTTTCTTCCCGCGCAATACCATTCCATCTACCCGTTCCAATTATAAACTTATGATTAGTTGTTCTTTGCATATCCCATATATAGCTTAAACCACATTCATTGAAGATTTTTCTGATATATAACAGCCACGGACTAGTTATACCATTTTAAATGTTACTTTTATATAAAACAGTGTATAAAATATAAGAGTACTTGCTATCATGTGCCTGTAACAATTTAGACCAATAGGTAATCATGCGGACCTTTACATGATTACGTAAATGATTATGCGTAGATTTATTATTTATCAATTTGACATAGTAAGAAGATGATTCAATTTTTTAGAAGGACATGTGCATGTACACATGTACTTTCTGTCTGCAATACTGAAGTATTAAGAGACAAAATATCAATAATTAATTGTTGATTTATAATGATACATCTGTAATATCTGTAAAAATTACAGGTAGATCCACAGGTAAAATATCTCAGGTAAATACAGCATCTATATGAAACAGATTATAATTACCCTCCCTTTGATGTTTCTACCTATTGTCATGGACATGGATGCGTTCGGGGAACACCCCATTAAGTTCTGTCAGTACCACACACTGATCAGGGTAGATATTGTGTATTAAGTCTGTCAGTACCACACACTGATCAGGGTAGATATTGTGTATTAAGTCTGTCAGTGTCACACACTGATCGGGGTAGGCATTAAGTCTGTCAGTGCCACACACTGATAGGGGTAGGTATTAAGTCTGTCAGTGTCACACACTGATTGAGGTGTGTATTAAGTCGGTCAGTACCACACACTGATCATGGTAGGTATTAAGTCTGTCAGTGTCACACATGTGACAGGTGCACAAAGTTTATGACTCTACCACAGGTGTTATATTCCTGTTTCACTGGTTCAAACTCAGATTTTCATCACCTAAGTAAGGCCAGATTTCTGAAGTAATTCTCAAAATATGTTCATTATTTCGGACACTAAAAAATCAGTTCAGTATTTAGAAAGGAAAAGGAAATGGTATTAGGATGATAAAAAGGACATCATTCTGGATTCAAGACATGATTCCTTTAGAGAGAGTTGGCTTGGGGAAGTTACAGTGGACCTAGTTTTTAACTTGGAAGGTCTCTGTCCATCCTTTACACAATAATAGTTAAAAATAATAGAAAAAGTGTTCTGATTGTTTTACCTTTTTGTTATGTGTAACAGGGGCTGGAGTAGCAGTAGTGAATGACCTTGTGTACGTATGTGGAGGGTATGACGGAACTGACCACCTAGCCAGTGTTGAGAGCTACAACACACACACTGGACAATGGTCAGCAGTCACACACATGATTGTGCCTCGATGCTATGTGGGGGCTTGTGTACTACGAGGAAAATTATTTGTTGTAGCAGGGTAAGTGGATTTTGAACTGCATCAACTACTTTTATAGAAAATATGTTTACACATTAAGTGTATATTGGATCTGATTTACATTCACTAGCATCTTTGTGCTTGAGGAGTATGCATATACAACCTTCAAAATTCATGGAATTTTAAAATACTAGACTGTATATGGTTTAATTCTGAATTTTTTTTTTAAGCTATGACGGTAATACGCTTCTGAATACTGTGGAAAGTTATGACCCAACCACAGGGACGTGGGAACTTTTAGACAGTGCCATGAAGACTCAGAGATGTGATGCTGGTGTAACAGTGGCACGTAAGTTATGACACAGGTTTCCTGGCGCAGTCCAATGTGATGTCCAACCCGATGCCTTTTCACTTGGTAAATGTGTTCTTGCCAGTTAAAAAATAAACCCTGGCATGTTTGGTGTTCAATAAATTTTCTACATGCTTGCCTTTCTTCGTATACATTCAACACCCAATTGTGTTACTGTGGAATGTTTTGGATTATGGATCGACTGAATGGACTGTTGAGAAGAGTATATAGGATTCACAGAATGGTCATGGCGATGTCCTACACACTTAGCCATGTCTGGTCAACAGTACAGGTGCTGCAAACATCCATTTGTGTCAGTTCACAGTATTTAGAACTCACAGAGATGTCTGACCATATACAATTGTCCTACACATCCATGTCAGATCCACAGTTTTATGCTGCACCCACAGAATTGCCTGATGGACCGTATACCAGTGTCCGGCACACCTGGCTTGTCGCATAAAGTAGATAAACCAATCCAGCTACAGGCTTTGTCAGGATATGAAGAAACTAGAGGGACAACACACCCCTGAACAGTTTCCTGGTAAATGTCTGTTGCCAGGTTTGAATTGTTTCTGTGATTTATTAACTGAAGACAGTTTGAATACCTGCCATTATATGACAATGTATTTTATTTCATATCATTTAAAGAGGTATGTTTTGTTTTTGTCTCTGTGTAATCACATTCATCAAGGAACATTCCTTGTTAGTTAGTTTTGGGAACAAGTGTCTTTTCTGAAGTATTATAACTTTTGAAGAGTTGATGAATTATAGGATTAGTGTAGATAAAGTTGAACCTCCTTATCTTGAACTTACATTACTTGAAGACCAGATTGATTCAAAGAATTTCATTGGTCTTGGGAAAACTTCATCACAAACATTCAAATTCACCTAAGATGAATACTCTGATAAATGGAAGTGTTCCCTCTGTCTTGGTGAAGTTATCTTAGGTCCTGTCAAAGTTTTCTCACTGCTGAGAAAAAGTTTTCCCACAGTCCAGACAAAGTTTTCCCACAGTCCAGACAAAGTTTTCCCACTGTCGAGACAAAGTTTTCCCACAGTCCAAGTTTCCCCACTGTCAAGACAAAGTTTTCCCACAGTCCAGACAAAGTTTTCCCACTGTCGAGACAAAGTTTTCCCACAGTCCAGACAAAGTTTTCCCACTGTCGAGACAAAGTTTTCCCACAGTCCAGACAAAGTTTTCCCACTGTCGAGACAAAGTTTTCCCACAGTCCAAGTTTTCCCACTGTCGAGACAAAGTTTTCCTACTGTCCAGACAAAGTTTTCCCACTGTCGAGACGAAGTTTTCCCACAGTCCAAGTTTTCCTACTGTCCAGACAAAGTTTTCCTACTGTCCAGACAAAGTTTTCCCACTGTCGAGACAAAGTTTTCCCACAGTCCAAGTTTTCCCACTGTCGAGACAAAGTTTTCCCACAGTCCAGACAAAGTTTTCCCACAGTCCAGACAAAGTTTTCCCACTGTTGAGACAAAGTTTTCCCACTGTCGAGACAAAATTTTCCCACTGTCGAGACAAAGTTTTCCCACTGTCGAGACAAAATTTTCCCACAGTCCAGACAAAGTTTTCCCACTGTTGAGACAAAGTTTTCCCACAGTCCAGACAAAGTTTTCCCACAGTCGAGACAAAGTTTTCCCACTGTCAAGACAAAATTTTCCCACTGTCTTTGTGACTTTGAGATAATGAGGTTTGACTGTATTTTTATTGATATTATTATTTTTTTTTTGTTACATTGTTTTTATCAAAGCCACCATTAACACAATAAGGTTGTATCAGAACATGTATCTATGTGTTGTAAAGTGATTTGATAGTTTAAGATAGAGCAGGTGATCTATCAAGTGTTGTATATTTAATTATATGAAATATTTCCACATTATTAATAGGAGAAAGCTATCCAGACTAAGACAAGTACTTTTATGTCACTGATTATGGTATCCTGATTTAAAGCAACCTTACTGAATAAGCAGTGCAATTTCTGTGCCTCTATAGTACACTTTTTTTGCAGTGAATTACAGTGTATTGTAGGGTAGGGGAAATAAGCGTTGCAATGTCCGCTCCTGTACAGTACACTGTATTGCAGTGTATCACAGTGTACCGTAGGGGAGGAGAAATAAGCATTGTAATGTCCGCTCCTGTATGGTACACTGTATTGCAGTGTATCACAGTGTACTGTAGGGCAGAGGAAATAAGCATTGTAATGTCCGCTCCTGTACAGGACACTGTATTGCAGTGTATCACAGTGTACTGTAGGGCAGAGGAAATAAGCATTGTAATGTCCGCTCCTGTACAGGACACTGTATTGCACTGTATCACAGTGTACTGTAGGGCAGAGGAAATAAGCGTTGTAATGTCCGCTCCTGTACAGTACACTGTACAGTACACTAATTTTAATCAGATTGGATTTAATGTGGAACCATGATCAAGGTCTCATGAGGAAGCTACTTCTATTGCTGCAAAAATCAAACTGCCTGTTGTCTTTGATGAATGAGAATACAATTTCAGCATTAATTATGATTCCTATTTTGTACCTTTATAATGTGGAAACTTCCAGGTTTCTTTTTTATTGTTTTACAGGTTATATGATTTGGTATGTTTGTTGTGGGTTATTAACGTGAATCTAGACCGTAAAACTAGCTTATAGCAACCCCTTCTGTAAAATGACTTTTTCTTAAAAGTGACTCTTTCTGTAAAGTGGCCTCTCTTTGAAAAGTGACCCCTCTGTACAGCGACACTCTTTTTAAAGTGATGTCCCCTTTTAAACAACCACCTCTGTACGGTTACCCCCTCTTTGAAGTTAACCCCACTATAAAGTGATGCTCTCTATAATGCATTCCCCTCTGTAAAATGACCTCTTGTTAAAGTGACCCCTTTGTTATAACCGAACCTCTGTAATGTCACATCCTCTGTGAAGTGACCTCCTTTGTGAAGTGACCCCCTCTGTAAAGTAACATCCTCTGTGAAGTGACCTCCTCTGTGAAGTGACCTCCTCTGTGAAGTGACCCCCTTTGTAAAGTAACCCCTCTGTGAAGTGACCCCACTGTACATAAACACTTTATTAATTAAATCTCACGTGAGTATAATTATTTTTGTATTTATCATTACTACAATAATTATAATATATTAACTATTTAAGAGGACTTCTGATGAACATCTGAATGCTGAATACTTTCACCAAATCTCGACCAGTCATGTGATATAAAACTTTCATTGCTGGTGGATAATTAATTGATTTTTTTTACTTTTTTGTCCCAAGTTTTTATAGATATAACAAAATTTGTGAATTTACACTGCCATTTTCACCCCGGTGAAGTTTTGACATCGACTAATTTTCAGTAATTTGGTGGTATACGTAAAGACATGAAAATAGCTTTGTATTGACCCTGACAACAAATTGAAAGTGCTAGCATTATACTGAGGACTTTTAAATATTTAACTTAGGTGCTATTTATAGAAAAAAACACCTTAGGGGATTCTATTGTGTTTGGTTTAAATATAACGTCAGCTTCATGTATTTCATCTGTTTGGTATATATATAAATATTTACTAGACAGAGCTGATTGTTGGTGAGCTCAGAGGGTTCCGGGTTGGAAGCCTGGTCAAACCCTGGATTTTTCGCTCCTGTTACATTTGGTGCTTATGACCTAACCTGGCTTCAAGTAAATGAATGTTTGGCAAGGGAAACCTAAATCTGGATTATAACTGGATGTTTATGTAGTGGTACTGAACTGGGTTGATTATATCCAGCCAGGTATCTCAGTTGGTAGAGTGTCTATCTAGAATTTGGAGGTCCTGGGTTTGAACCCTGGTTTGGCCGTCTATCTTTCCACTTCTATTATATATAAAATAGACATTACATATGTGTAAGTTATTGAATGTTTTGGGGAATGTCTTCTGCATTCACTATTATGTGGAGATGTCTGGCTCCTATAATGTTACTCTGAAATAGTCTTTCAATGCTTTTGGGAGCGGAGGGGTTGAGTGTATTTCCCCAGATCCATTGTAGTTAGACCTGAAATCTGTTATATGGTCCTCTAAAGTTAAACATGAGTTAGTTAAACGTGAGTTGAGATACTTACGCGCTGGTTACCATCAATTTTTCGGAGGAGGTATATACTGTAGCGTCTGACAGGAGAAAGTAGAGGATGACAAATTCTCTGTGATTACTTTAATATCATTATCTAAGCATTTGATAATTTAAAATGATATTCGTATATATATCAAGTACGGTCTGATTTGCTTGATAAAGAGTGTTTGATATTGTAAAATATTAAGTAAAACTACCTGGTACATACTATGTAGATTTGTATCCTTTCTAATTGCTTTGATATTGAAATCTAGACATTTGAAAATTTGAAATAGAAAACTGCCTGGTATGTACTTTGTAGATTGCTTTTTATAAATGTAGCAGTATTTCAGTATGTCATGTTGGTGAAAATGGAAAAAAAGAAAAACAAGAGAATTTTAAACGGAGTCTGTAGTTGTATTGAAATTTTATCACTAGGTCCTGTGAAATTACAGCATTGTGCTACTGTATTTAAAATGAATCTGTTAAATTCTGTAATTTCTCGATAGATAACCTGACCAGAGGTTTTATTCAGAATTAACTGATTAGATTGTATGGTTGATGTTCATTTTCAGGGATTCATTTGTGTTAAATTTCCAAAGTTTTGTTTTGAATTTTTTTGTGAAATGACCTTGCTTTACTCTGAAGATTGATTGGGCGGATTGTGGTGATTTTGACTTGATACAACAAAGGGCACCTCTATCACACACCTCTATCATTATCTGAGGTTTAAGGTTGAATTTCTTCAGAAAAAAGACTTTGATGTATTATTTCATTCATTTCCTTTAATGACCATCTCATTTGCACTGGTACTTATGACAAAAAAGGGTTGTCATTTCTCTTAGTTGGCTTGTAAGTGTCATACATATTATACATGTATGTTATCTAGGTTGAAATTTATATAAAAATGAGTCTCGTAATTTATTTTCTGTCTTTAAAGTTTGAAGGGGAGCTATTCTTCTCATATTTTGGCAGCAGCAGTTTATCCTTGGTTCGTAATGGTTGATGTTCAGATTTTTTCCCCTCCAAAATGGCAATCTCCACTTAACAAATAATTTGATATGTGCGGCAGGTTTGTGGGATATTTTCATCAGTTATTTTTGGATTTTGTATCCAAGTTTGTGTATGTTTCGTTCAAAGATTTGTCTGAAAACATGTAAAACTGATATAAATATTTAACATTGTTTTGCTTTATATCGCTGTTACTTTGAATTTAGCTATTTTTCCTATACTGTATAAGAAATGATTATGAAATATGATTTTTTAAAATTTTGCATTCACATTGTTGATTCCACATTTGAGAGTCTCCTCTAAATATTTGTCTTAGATTGTCAAAAATATGATTTTACATCATGTTTGAATAGTATTACTGAATCAGATATTATCCAGGTCTGTGAGAAATGTAACTACAGCTACTTGTTAGAAAAGTTCACGTAAAATCTGACTTGTGATTTAAAGATGTTAGAAATCCCAATGGTTAAGCAGGTAAAATAGACGTGGTATCATGTTGATTTCCATCTTTTTTTTTTTTAAATCTGTTTGTTGTGTAATATTAATACATTTATGAATATTCTATGTACAATGTTATAAAGTGAAGATTAAAAGACATTTATGATATAACAGATTTGTGTTTGTTCACTTTGTTACAGTGTATATTATTCTCCGTTTTGTACATGTAACTATAGTCAATCAAAATACAAGAGACATACTGGCAAATATTATGGGATGTGTGCTAGAAGGATATCTCTCTTGTGATTGTATTGACTATAATTGTAATTAGAAAATACTTCATTTTTCATATTCACATTACCAACAACATTTTGGGGAATATTTATTAGATAACCTGATCTTTCAAGATGTAGAAAAACATGGTTATGGACAAGCTGAAACATGGAACAGACATAAAGTGCATTATGACACTACAGTACAATGGGACCAGGTACAATTCTCTAGTCTCATCATTACTTTGGTTGGACAGCAGCTGGTAAATTATCTGGCATTTGTCTGGTTTTGAGGTCACCTGATTGACTCAGTGTGATCCCCTTTTGTCCAGTGTCGTAAAACTCCTGAAACTATTTCAATGAAATTTCACAAAAACCTTCCATGGCTAAAGGTACACCAAAATTGTAAATTATATGGTCCCCAACCCCAGGGGCCTGAGGGGCGTGGTCAAAATGGTCAAATTGATTGAAACTTCAAAATTCTTCTTAAATCTCTGGTATGGTAGAATCAAGTACTATTCATAGATGGAAAGGCCTTCTGATGCTTTACCAAAAATTGTAAATTTTATGACTCCAGGGTTTCACTTTTCTCATGAGGTCCTTGACCCCTCAATTACAGTGTTAATGCCCTTTAATTTCTTGTCTGGAGCATAACTTTGCCCACAGATAAAAAAGGATCATGAAACAAAGTGCATACATTGATCATACGAAGACAATATGCTGTGTACCAAATTCTGGGCCCTCAGTTACAGAGTTATTGCCCTTTGTTAAATATATTGTCCAGAGCATAATTTTGCTTGCATTTAAGGTAGGATGATGAAAGATGGTGTAAACATTGATCATATGAAGAAGTGCTAGAGCCCGCAGCCTTTTAATCATAGAGTTATTGCCCTTTGTTAAAATTTTGTGTCTGGAGCATTACTTTGCTTGCAAGGTGCAATGTAGCAAAATCAGGGCTGATGAATCCTTCAGTACATAGTTTTTGTTATTTGTTAAGAATTTGTGTCCTGAGCATAGCTTTGCTTACATTGAAACTGGGACAACAAAGCTTTGTGTATATATTGATCATAATGGAAGAATGTTCTGTATACCAAATTCAGGCCTGCAACCTTTTATATACAGAATTATTGCCCTTTCGTAAAATTTTGTGTCCAAAAAATAAAATCGTTTTCAAGGTGTATTCATCAGTTTCGCAGAAACTCTTGTTTATATCAGCAAGGAAATTCTCAATGGCCATATGCTTATCCTGTAATAAGCCCAAAGGTCAACACATTATTTCTTTTTCAGAATCGGGGGTGGGCTTATTACAGGACCCTGTGGGTCAACACAATACTTCTTACTAAGTCAGGAGATGGGCTTATTACAAGACCCAAGGGGCAAACACATAACTTCTTACAAAGTGTCTGGAGGTTGGCTTATTACAAAACAGCAGCATTGACACATTACCTCCGACTCAAAATCACAGGAATGGGCTTATTACTGGACCCCAAGGGTCAACACCGAGCATCGTATTCAATGTCAAGGGAATAGGATTATTAAAGCTATGAAATTGAAATACTTTTTGTTGGAAATACTAGTGAACAGCCGTAAATATGAAAGGGCTTATACCAGGCATAGACTTATTACCAGATAAGGCATATCATCTACATGTTTATTTTGGTATGTATGAGAAGAAAATATAGAAAGAAAAGATAAGACATGAGGTACTAGTGTAATTTGTCTTTATTCCAGATTAGGGTAACAAAACCATCACCATCACTTACAACTCAACATTCCATCAGTATAATGACTAGACTGCAAATCAAAAAGCCTGCATGGTACAAATGTTGTCATGGGCAACAAAAAACACCCTTATTAGTACCTAGGTTAACACATTATTAATTAGGACAAATGTTTCAACTAACTGGATTAATAAAAGCTTTTAAATATTTCAATCATGACACAATTGGCAGTCTTTTTCCAGGAAGTTTCTAGTCCGATGTTAAATATTAACTCACTGAAAACCTTGCAGTCTTTTACACAAAGACCTGAGATAAATGTCTTCTGACAAGCTGGACTGCACTGTGTATGTACTAAGGTGTTTGTTTTTATACAATGTGGGCCTTGGAAATATTAATATTTGAAAACAGAAAATGCTGCTTTAGACAAGAATATTCTCTGTTGTCACGCTTCAAGAAAAAGGCTGCCAACCTTGTAATTGTCTGGTTTTGTTAACTTGTAACCAGCAAAGATGAGAACGTCTGATTTTAACCATGGGAGTATCTGAAAACAAAGAACAGCATAATTCTTATTCAGTTTTTTTTCTTTCTGAAATTGCAACAGGAACATTTGTTTTCCTAGCAGCAACAACTGATGTCAAAATAACATTGACTGCCCATTCTACAAAATAATGTTAGTAAAATCTACAGACACTAAAGGGGTCCTCAAGAAAAAAAATGATAGCTAAAAGCTTTTAAAAAAAGTTTATACATCTACTTTTGTATATAAAACCTTCCTTAATATTCTAAAATCTTTCAAGCTCGCATCACATGATCTTACTCTAGTGAAATGGACATCAAATAACATTGAAGGACTTTCTAACAATCAACACACTGTCGGGCAAAAAACAAAGCAAATTTTGATTTTAAAGCAATGTATTAACATGTTAATAGAATTCTTGAATAAATGTTTACTTTATACAAACTGTTTAATCATCCGAACTTTATGTAACAAAATACTTTTGAACCATCACGTATACTTACAGTAATTACATAATTATATAAGTAGATATAAATGCACATATATATATTCACATCCTATATTATGCATTAATTTTTAAAGTACATATTTATCACATATAAATGTCATTCAATGAAACAGAAATCTTCAGATAGTTTTAAAAATAAATATCACAATAGAATTGTATGTATTTACAGTAAGAGTAAAAATTTAGACATTTAACATGAACTGAAATACAGCTCCAATACCACTGATGTAATTTCAGTCAGCATGCTTATTCTGATGGAGTAAAACCTAACTGTCATTAAAGATGTATTTGTTTTGCAATATTTTTCGTGTTCATTCTATTACTTGATTTCTTAATTTTGATACTGGAACCGAACATAATTAATTAAAAATCTAAACAAAGTGAAGAAATTCTAGTCATTTATTTAACGAGGTATCTATATTCTTTATGTTGGGAGAGGCATTATAGTTGAGATAAATTACCGCTGACCCCCATGTCGTTTTCATGACAATAGAATATATTTGAACTAAAACTAAACTATTCTTATTTAAAGTGAAGCAATCAAGAAATATGAACATCACAGAACTATTAACAGGCGTGCTCTTCCTGTCCATGTTAACTTAAAGGATAAATCTTTGTATCAATATTATGTGAGGTTGACACAACATGGTGAGGATAGACACACAGATACGGGAATGTAAATTACACTCAAGTCACCTATAGCTACCATCACTAAATCAATGGTTACCACGGCAATAACACAAAAATTAATTACTTCACAAACAGTATCACATGCTCACTCATAACTTCTACATACATAAAATAAAATGGAGAAATAGTAATTAATGAGAAAAAGGACATGATGGCTGTCTTTGGAGTATACACTGCTGATTGTAGTCACATAGAATGGCACATGGTTATAAATTCCCACAGATGTTATTGACAAATTTACAATTGCATAGACCAGCTTACCGAGCTTCTCTGAAACCTAACATTAACAAATTTTCAACTCTTTTTCAAATTCTGTGTTTTTTGAAAGATTTTTCATGCCTTACTCCAGTTATTTATTTGTGTTTACTTCCATTCCTTATATACAATGAATTGCTTTGTGTAGGGAAAACACTGTCCTATAATTTGAATACTTTTCCTGTAGAAACAATCCTTACACAGCAAAGTCTATGATAAAAGCAATTTAACAAAATCATTCAGTTTTTAGTTAACATATAGGAGTTCTCAGTTACCATAGCTAAACCATCTGTTTTGTGAAAACTTATGCCCTACAGACAGTAGAACATGTTTTAATATATTTTAGACTATTTTATCAAAAAATTAATCTTAGACCATCGTGTTGGACAGTCTAATCCTTCTAGCCTAGCTGTTTTACAAAGTTAATGCAGCTCCAGTGAAACAGAATGAGAGTAGGGCTGTTAAAAGTTGGACAAGTTGGACACAGGTTGCTTGTTTGTGAAATAAGGATGATCTTATTTTGTTTTTGATAAACTAAGCCTTTTCAGGCCTGTATCAATATTTGCAGGTCCGTCCTGATTTATGCCTAAACATTACTTTTGAAATGCTGATTAACTGGTTTGTCTGCTAAAGACCCCAAGTCTATCTTATAGCAACTCTTACATCAGCTGAAAGAATGTGATTAATAAAACTTGTAATATTTGTGTTTTTTGACAAAGAAGTTGGAGATCATTGAATCAGGACAGACTTTGGTGTTTTGTACTAAAGTGTATTCAATCAAAAAAACAAAATATGATCTAAAACACAAGGTTCAATCTACAGAAAATCACAATATGTATCAAAAATGAAGTTAAAAGATCAAAGTTATGACATTAAGGGAAGTTTTACTCCCGGTTAAATACATATATACTTTGGTATCAAATGTGATATCTGTGTCGAATCTACAACAGTTGATTTCCAGCAGATATCAAACATCCATTCCTATTTCACATGTGGGTTTTCCTGGGTATTTCGGTTTCCTCACACAGTAAAATCCCTTCGTGAAGCTTTCATCCCGGCCAGCAAGAGTGACTAATATAAGCTTGTTTCCCAATTGTTGTAAAATAAATATAGTTTGTATTTTATTTCACAGCTCCAATAGTCCTACATGTGTCATTTGAAAGTAGCCAAGTCAATATTTCTACCTTCATACAAACATTTGGTATTATCTTAAATAAAACAATATAGATGGATTTTATAGGAAAATACAAAAATTCAAATATTTAAAAATAGTTACAAACTTTACTTTGAAAAGATAGAAAAATAAGACTGAAAAAGTCATTCACTCTTAATATTCTCAAAATATTAAAAAAAAAAAATTCCAACCCCTATCATCAATGATTTTTTCCAAATATATTTAAGTAAGTTAAGATGTGAAATATTGTAAAGAGCTATGGGTACTAAGATTAAAAATGGAAATCAGAGAAATCAGATAGCACCAAAACCTAGTACAAAGTGAGTGTAATGTTATACAGTCGTGGCAACAAAAAATCCAAAATGAACATCATAACAATTATATAATAACACATTAAATATCATTTAATGTTTCCAAACATAAACACTATCTTGACTGATATATGATGGGATAGGTTATTGGTCCTGGCAACAATGGAAAAAGACAAAGAAAATTATGGGGAAAAAAACCAATCTTAAGCAGACAAGGATGCCCCACCTGCCGTAACGTTTATGTTAATACCCCAGTTGTTGTATGACAACACAGACACCATATTAAATAGGATACCACAATCTCCTCTGATGGAATTAGTAACATGCATGGAAACAAATTAAAAACAAAGTAATTTACTTCCAGCAGGGGAAGCATGGTCATTGTAAAACAACTATAAATCATGTGATGAAATAACACATGGTTTAGGAGTCTTACTATTACCTTTGTCAACATATCCTCTTTCTATTTCCTTGGCCTGTAGGAAATCCCATACTTGTACCTCAGAAAAGATGTGTAAGGATGGCAAAATGAAAATCAATATGGTACTCACATATGCATGGTTTCAAATAATTCAACAAATAATTACTAGCTTCAAGATGAAATTTGTGTAATGCTATAGTAATTTAAAGCCTGATAATTATGTACAACCTTGAAATCTACATCTGAGCTGTTTTAATTCAGCTTTAAAACTTCAACATTAAAACAAACAAAAAATCAATTATAATTAGAAAACAACTGTGTGAACTTGATAAAAAATATGATCATTTTTTCCCTTGGAGAATTTAGTGCATACATGATTACTTTTAAAGTATTTCCATACTGTTAATAGAATGACTTTGCCATAATCAATTTGTCTATTCCCGTGTATGTTAGATATGAAATGTAACTTAATTTACAAGATTAAAAGGCTTCAATCTAATCAAATCCGGATCTTTACTCACCTCTACTTGTTAAAATGTACATTTTGTTTTAATCAGACTACTAAATATTAAAAAACTCCAGGAAAAAGGTTTTACATTTAGAGAAATGTATTTACGCCTTGTAAGCAGCTCACTATAAACAATGGACACACTGTCATATATTCCGACCTTGTGGGAGCTCACAATTATTAATGGACACATTGCGAGAGTTCACCATGAACAATGGACACACTGTAACATGTTTGGGCCTTGTGGGAGCTAGACTGGATTTGCCGCCATAGTTTGTCTATTCTACGCTAGACTTTGCTTTTGCACAGGTCAGACATATCAATCCTGTCATTCTGACTGGCTAATATTTATACGTACTCTTGGGTATTCCTTTCCAAGATGGCAATTTTTGTGATTTTCTCAGAAATATTCAAATGTCTGCATTCCAATATTACTACAATGTAGGCAAGTAAGCATTTTCACCACAGATTGTCATTGTGAACAAGAAGATTTCCAAGACTCAAATCCCATCAATGATTTGATGACTGAATTCACCAATCAGTGTCGTTTTGGTCAAAATTTTGACCAAGATGGCAGCCCTGACCTGTCTAAGTTTCAATGAGCATAGTCTAAGGGAGAAACATTGTAACAAAGGCAGGTAATTCAGTCTAAGTGGGAGTTCACTATAAACAACAGATACACTATAGGAGCTCACTTTAAACAATGGACACACTGTAACATATCATGGCCTTATTGGAGTTCACTATAAATAACAGAACCACACCAAAAAATCAACCAATGACTTTTTTCACCTTTAAACTTCACTAAGATCACAGGTACATGTTTTTGATAATCCTGTGTAAGAAAAATCAACCAATGACTTGTTTCATCTTTAAACTTCACTAAGATCACAGGTACATGTTTTAGATAATCCTGTGTTAGAAATAACCCCGTATATCCAGAGCGTATTATATAACAGCTGTATATATTAGTCAAACAATTACAAACATGATAATAAGTACAAGGTAGATTTTCACCTTTCTTTCATACATAAATATTTCAATAATAATAAATAACTTCACACACTGAAAGCCTCATGATAATATAACACACTTTTAAACCCTGACAGATGTAAACTGCTCCATATAATAATCTCTTAAAACTATTGAATTAACACATAACAATCACACACAAAACAATTTTTATAAATACACAACTCAACTGAAACAAATATTGTCTGGTGTGTTGCCAGGGTCATCATTTATCTTGTTCTCAATGGGTTTTAATGGGCAATAACAATACTAAACACAGCAAAACATGCACTTATGAACAGATTTTTCTGTGATTGCTTTCCTGTAGCGGTGAAGCAAGTAAAAATTATGTAAAATATCATTACAGTCTTACAGAATCCTTACATACCTATCTTAGTGCCCTGGTACCTCCAAGCTCAGCCAACCTTGACCTTAACAATACAGATTTATGGCTGTAAACAGGATTCATCCCGAGTGAAGTACCATACACTATCTGTCATTAGGTATACAAACATTTGTTTTACCTTGTGTATTGTTATAGATCTTTGCCACAATAACAGCTAGACGTCACTTTTTAAACTCAAAATAAAATTTACAACTGCCAGCTGTTATGCTTAATAGATCATAATTTTGCAGTGCTAGGTTACTACTAGCTCTCGATGTTCACTGTTAGATGTGTCATCATTTCAGATGTCAGTTTAAGAGTTAAGCAGTACAGAAGACATTCCTATGGATGTTAATTGTCGTGAATAATGTCAGTGCATGGTCAGAATAATCAGGTACCAATTACCTACTGTAAAGATGCTTAATTTCAAAAGACTAATATTTTGCAGTTGCCTGGGGCTAATGTTTCGCAGTTGTCCCGGGGCTAGTGTTTTGCAATTGTCTTGGTTTGGGCTACTTCATGAGGATTCAATTTGACACATCAGTTGGTATTTTTGTACACCGACAGATAACACTTCCTTGTGAGATTCTGATTCACTGTAAAAACTTTAATGAACACAAAGTGAGATTTATCTGCCGGGAATATTGCCAACTATACACAACTGAGTGTAGGATATTATAATATATTTCCTCAGAATAAAGTATGAAATTTTGGAATGATGTGCTGGTGTATGGGGAAAATATGACATCTGCATGACTTCAATACCATACATCTTTGGCTTTACAGAAACTTGTATGAGGTTCATCGGAATGATAGGTGTCTAACTGTCAGCTCTATCACAGAGTCTGTTCCTCACTCACATAACTCACACAAATATTTCTCCTGTTCACACAAGGTTTCTCCAGTATATAGGGTTTCATAAATGATTGTTCCGGCACAAACAAATTCCTTCAGACTTACTGTATATGTCAGTACACAATAATACCTGGTACAATGCATTCCCTGGAGATCTACAATGACATTCAGGCAGTGTTTCATCATTTAACCTCTGTGTTGTGAGGAACTTGGACATAAATTAGAATGACATTCACACTGTGTAGCGTTAATATGTCACAATCTCGATGTATATTTCTTGATTTTAATTTGTGGACAAGAAATCAGTATAACACCAAAGAAGTTATTCGGGATGCTGTTGTAAAGAGTCCATCTGGACTCCTATATCACACATCCTCAACATGTCTTGGTATCCACATCAGTGTCTTTAGGAAATTTCCTCTAGAGTCCTTCAATACAATACACATAGTATCTGTTTCCATTATCTGTCTGTTAGCAGAACTGCGGACAGTAGCGATGCTATTGTTGCTAAGGTGATGACCGCTGTAGACACTGGGCGGGAGTACGGTCCACTACACTTGCTTGTATCCTCCTATACAATGTAATCAGTGAAACATGTCAAACAATGGTGACATACAGTTAGAGACAGGACTCAGATCAAATATGTGTAGACCTACACTTCCTCTTGTTTGTCAATGACAATTTCTGCAAATGTAAACTATCACTGATTTACATCTACATTCACAGTTAAAATGTAAAGGAAACATGAGATTTACAAATACTTTTATGTCCTGTAAAATGTGTACTAATTACTGATTTACATTTACAAGAAAAACAAGACCTACAATTGCTCATGAACACTCAGACTACACTGTAATGAATCAACAACAACAGGATTTCACTCTGTTTACAGATCTATGTTGTTACCATTGATATTTTCAAGCTGATATTACAAAGATTTGGTTATCCAGTAGGTGTGTAACAAACCTTTTCATCGAAGTCGTAACATTTCTCAGGGTTGTTTCTATAACGAGGTGTCAGATTACAGTAGTCAGGACCTTCATCTGGTAAAAATTAACAGTAAACATTGTTATTACTAACTCAATCATATATGTATTTATAATTAAATCATGTACAAGACCTCAATCAAATCTTAAATGTATACAAACAACATTTTCTTAGAGTAATGAACATGTATATAGGACATTAATGACCAAGCTCCTGTTGTTATGATAATTACACACCAGATTCTGTTGACAGGGTCCCGAGACACTACAATGATCCTGCATGGGATGAGATACAATGGGTTGGTATGAACCTACCTTTGCGTGGTTCTTGAATAAGGCCTTCACCAGCAGCTGTTAACATACAGTCTGGACATTCTGGAGTAGCTACCAACAACAGAAGGTTGGTCTTTGCGAAACGCACAGCATAGAAATCCCTAGGAGGAAACCATTTACATTAATGTGACAGTAATCCATTTTCACACACATTTATAATACATAAAAAATATCAACATAATAATGATATAAAATGTACTAGAGCATATCGTTATATAGATATATCCCTCCCTACTGACCTTTATAGAGACTTACATCCATGTATATGTAGGTATATCCCCTCCCTACTGACCTTTATAGAGACTTACACCCATGTATATGTAGGTATATCCCCTCCCTACTGACCTTTATAGAGACTTACATCCATGTATATGTAGGTATATCCCTCCCTACTGACCTTTATAGAGACTTACATCCATGTATATGTAGATATATCCCTACTGACCTTTATAGAGACTTACATCCATGTATATGTAGGTATATCCCCTCCCTACTGACCTTTATAGAGACTTACATCCATGTATATGTAGATATATCCCTACTGACCTTTATAGAGACTTACATCCATGTATATGTAGATATATCCCTACTGACCTTTATAGAGACTTACATCCATGTATATGTAGGTATATCCCTCCCTACTGACCTTTATAGAGACTTACATCCATGTATATGTAGGTATATCCCTACTGACCTTTATAGAGACTTACATCCATGTATATGTAGATATATCCCACCCTACTGACCTTTATAGAGACTTACATCCATGTATATGTAGATATATCCCTACTGACCTTTATAGAGACTTACATCCATGTATATGTAGGTATATCCCTACTGACCTTTATAGAGACTTACATCCATGTATATGTAGGTATATTCCTACTGTAAATATAATACAATATGATAAATAGTACTTACCTGGTATATTTCTTGTCACATAGGTAAATAGTACTTACCTGCTACATTTCTGGTCACACAGGTAAATAGTACTTACCTGGTATATTTCTTGTCACATAGGTAAATAGTACTTACCTGGTACAGTTCTGGTCACACAGGTAAATAGTACTTACCTGGTATATTTCTTGTCACGTAGGTAAATAGTACTTACCTGCTACAGTTCTGGTCACACAGGTAAATAGTACTTACCTGGTATATTTCTTGTAACACAGGTAAATGGTATCTTTGTAGTACTTACCTGCTACAGTTCCAGTCACACAGGTAAATGGTATCTTTGTAGTACTTACCTGCTACAGTTCTGGTCACACAGGTAAATAGTACTTACCTGGTATATTTCTTGTAACACAGGTAAATAGTACTTACCTGCTACAGTTCCAGTCACACAGGTAAATGGTATCTTTGTAGTACTTACCTGCTACAGTTCCAGTCACACAGGTAAATGATATCTTTGTAGTACTTACCTTGTACAGTTCTTGTCACATGGGTAAATGGTATCTTTGAAGGGACCTGTGCCAAGCTTGTCACTGAAATAGTATTGTGCCTGTTTCTTTATACAGTGGTCGGTTTCTTCTGTGTTAGTCGTCATGTCCTCTGGAATCTCCACATAAGCTGTCAAACAATAGTACAGGTAGGCATTTGTACAGGTAGATAAACAATAGTACAGGTAGGCATTTGTACAGGTAGATAAACAATTGTAGAGGTAGGCATTTGTACAGGTAGTGAACAATTGTAGAGGTAGGCATTTGTACAGGTAGATAAACAATTGTACAGGTAGGCATTTGTACAGGTAGATAAACAATTGTAGAGGTAGGCATTAGTAGTTAGTATATACCTACTATATCTAGTTATACAGGGTGACAATCGTACAGGTAGACAATGGTACTCATAGATCATTGGTACACAAACATCTAGTTATACAAGGTGACAATCGTACAGGTAGACAATGGTACTCATAGATCATTGGTACACAAGCATCTAGTTATACAAGGTGACAATCGTACAGGTAGACAATGGTACTCATAGATCATTGGTACACAAACATCTAGTTATACAAGGTGACAATCGTACAGGTAGACAATGGTACTCAGTAGACAGAAAGCCAAACATACAAATAGATAAATATACAAGACAACCATACAGGTAAAAAGCCATTCTGACAGACAGACAGACATACAGGTAGACAGATAGACAATCATTAAGATAAACAGGTTGTTAATCATACATGTACACAATCATAGAGACAGACCATTGGCCAATCATACAGGTACACAATCATTAAGACAGACCATTGGCCAATCATACATGTAGACAATCATTAAGACAGACCATTGGCCAATCATACAGGTACACAATCATAGAGACAGACCATTGGCCAATCATACAGGTACACAATCATAGAGACAGACCATTGGCCAATCATACATGTAGACAATCATTAAGACAGACCATTGGCCAATCATACATGTACACAATCATTAAGACAGACCATTGGCCAATCATACATGTACACAATCATAGAGACAGACCATTGGCCAATCATACATGTACACAATCATAGAGACAGACCATTGGCCAATCATACAGGTACACAATCATAGAGACAGACCATTGGCCAATCATACATGTAGACAATCATTAAGACAGACCATTGGCCAATCATACATGTACACAATCATTAAGACAGACCATTGGCCAATCATACATGTACACAATCATAGAGACAGACCATTGGCCAATCATACATGTACACAATCATAGAGACAGACCATTGGCCAATCATACAGGTACACAATCATAGAGACAGACCATTGGCCAATCATACAGGTACACAATCATAGAGACAGACCATTGGCCAATCATACATGTACACAATCATAGAGACAGACCATTGGCCAATCATACATGTACACAATCATAGAGACAGACCATTGGCCAATCATACAGGTACACAATCATAGAGACAGACCATTGGCCAATCATACATGTACACAATCATAGAGACAGACCATTGGCCAATCATACAGGTACACAATCACAGAGACAGACCATTGGCCAATCATACAGGTACACAATCACAGAGACAGACCATTGGCCAATCATACAGGTACACAATCATAGAGACAGACCATTGGCCAATCATACAGGTACACAATCATAGAGACAGACCATTGGCCAATCATACATGAAGATAATGATACAAGTAGACAATCATACAGGTAAACAGGTAGACAATCATGCAAGCAGGCAACTTTACACGGCAACAACACAGGTAGATTGGTAGACAATCATACAGGTAAACAATGGTACAGGTAGGCAAGTAGACAATCATACAGGAAGAAGGTAGACAACCATATTAATAGCCCATAGGGTAATCATACAGGTAGATAGGTAGACATCATAGAGGAAGATAGGTTCAAATCCTGAAGTACTACATCCAGAGAGTAAGTTCTGGTTCTATCAAAATCACATATATCTCAATAGGACCAGATATTAGATGACTAGAGATTATCAACACTGGCATCAGACCAATGAAGGCTGCCTGCTGACTTGACAGACCCCTTGAGTAAGTTGTATGACAGTTCGTTCCAGAATTCTATTGGCTGTCTGAATCTGAAAATGTTACGGCAGCATATGGGCAGGAGTACAGACCCATAGAGGTGGGGATAAATGCCTGTATCCTCTGTGTCGCCCTGCACCCCAGCTTCTTTGGTGAAACAGAAAATGTAAAATCTCTTGACTAACTAACAACTGATAAATCATCTACTATAAACCTTTTAACACCAATTGAAATATTCAAGTAAATAAGACAAGATACCTCTGAATGAACATCTAAGCAGTGCTAGATATTTCTGATCTGTCACGTATCTTTAGGCAATATTTTAATGCCAAATGATATCATATTCAATTGTCTTTCACTGTTGTGTAACCAAAAAGGGAGACATAAATACAAGTAACACATACAATTAAACACATCACACATCACCTGGGAGACATATACCAGTAACACATACAATTAAACACATCACACATCACCTGGGAGACATATACCAGTAACACATACAATTAAACACATCACACATCACCTGGGAGACATATACAAGTGACATATACAATTAAACACATCACACATCACGTGGGAGACATATATAAGTAACACATACAATTAAACACATCACACATCACCTGGGAAACATATATAAGTAACACATACAATTAAACACATCACACATCACCTGGGAGACATATACAAGTAACACATACAATTAAACACATCACACATCACCTGGGAGACATATACCAGTAACACATACAATTAAACACATCACACATCACCTGAGGAGACATATATAAGTACAAACACATACAATTAAACACATCACACATCACCTGAGACATATACAAGAGTAACACATACAATTAAACACATCACACATCACCTGGGAGACATATACAAGTGACACATACATATTAAACACATCACACATCACACACCTGGGAGACATATACAAGTAACACATACAATTAAACACATCACACATCACCTGGGAGACATATACAAGTAACACATACAATTAAACACATCACACATCACCTGGGAGACATATATAAGTAACACATACAATTAAACACATCACACATCACCTGAGAGACATATACAAGTAACACATACAATTAAACACATCACCTGGGAGACATATACAAGTAACACATACAATTAAACACATCACACATCACCTGGGAGACATATATAAGTAACACATACAATTAAACACATCACACATCACCTGGGAGACATATATAAGTAACACATACAATTAAACACATCACACATCACCTGGGAGACATATATAAGTAACACATACAATTAAACACATCACACATCACCTGGGAGACATATATAAGTAACACATACAATTAAACACATCACACATCACCTGGGAGACATATACCAGTAACACATACAATTAAACACATCACACATCACCTGGGAGACATATATAAGTGACACATACAATTAAACACATCACACAACACTAGGTCATACCTCTCACATCATGATCAAAACAATGACACATTTGGTTGTGATAATATTTTAGTTAAGAATCTAAATCATGCCCTCTTACCTGCATCCGTCTGTGGGGACAGCCAGCTGTGGAGTAAGAAATAATATTGTATCATCACACATCAGACCTAAATCCTACTGCACTAATACATTCAATTTAACTAAAATGCCTAATAATGGTTAACAAAATTGAAAAATAAACACTTATGTATAAGCCACAAGTTGAAAGGTGCAATATGTGAACAAAGAGACAAACAGTGAAATTGCAGCAAATGTCCCAATAAATAAGTTATCTATAACAGATCCTTTTAATCTCTGATTTAAAATACATGTGAACACTTGAAAAAACTATCAGGTATGTGTCCAAAATAATCAAAATTTGAATGTATTTTGTTTAAAACACTGAATTTTCCTACAATAATACAACATTTACTAAACAACCATCATCTGACATGAATTATCAAAATTAATTGCTTTACTAGACATAAAAGATTAGTATGAATGATAAAGAACATCAACATTACAATTCAAGCAGCGTTATTAAAGACATATTCCCCTTTTTCTCTGAGATACCATTAATACTGTCAGTTACTAGTCTGTATTGTTCAGGTTGTGTGTTGTCAATGTTTACCTGAACAGATTAAAGTTGAACGCGGACCTGTAAGGGAAAAAAAATATTTGTCAATTAAACTATGAGGTGATGAATGCAAGTGACATGGCACGATAAATGATTTTTCGAACTGGATGAGAGACAATGAAACTGATAAGAAATAAATAATGTTGTAATCTTCTCTAAAGCAACGCTTATACTGACATACAAGTCAATCTACATCATTATAGTTTTAGAAATAACATTAATTTCACAAAACACTGAATAGACTTTTAATTGACAATTAAAACTGATGACCTATTCCATATCACAAAATTTCAAGACACAGAACAACATGACCTTTTAATCAATATTTTTAGTATACATACCATGTCCAGAAGCTGCTGAACCAGTTGACAGTCAAGAAGTCGAACAAAAGGTTAATGGACGGCTGGAAAATAACATATTAATCTTTAGACTTTTAAATTACAAGTAGTACAGTGTGGCAGAAAAATATAATTGTTTCTTTCTTTTTTCTTTTTTTTTTTTAAGACGGTTGTGGCATAAATATGTTATCTCCACAATGTTTACTAAATATTTCTTCCCCAAAACAACAGAATACATTAAATTATCAACATCAAGTCATGCACTAACGATCTTCACCAAATGTTAAAGGTCAATGCTGTACCAACCGAGCTATCACAGCTCACTTCACTCCTTACCTTAACATAACACTATTACTGAAAGCTATAGTATTATACTGACTACACTCACAATTCTAAACGAGAGAGAAGCAGCACTATTACTTTCATCTTCACTCTTTGAACATGTTGCTTGGTAATCGTACTGCTCAAGTCTGAAACATAACACATAGATATTTCTCACGAACTCTTCAGAAGTATATAGATGTAAAATGTATACAATATTTGTTTATCCTTGATAGATATAACAACAAACACAAGAGATAGAATATTCAGTCTCACAATTTATCACCAACAATAGAATTAGCACTCTGAATTCAAACATTGACATAAAACAGTATTATTGAGATTCATCTCTCTAACAGTTTTCTATCACCAAAACAACTTACAAATTCTTTTTGTTCTCTGTCCCTGAAAAATTATCAATCTGTATCAATTTTCTACTAAAAATCTATAGCTGAGCTTAACAATTTTGTACTGAATCAGCTTCATAATAAACAGTACATATACCCCTTGAATGACTTGATATATTCCTAGCACATGCTTTGTGTAAAATACCAACCTTTGATAAGTTGTATTATATAAAGCACTCATCAACCCAGCATCGATATGACCAAAGAATCTACCAATCTGGAATTACAAAGGATGAAATACAGAACAAGGTCCACTGGGGAAAACAAAAAAGTTTCATGCCAATGATTAGTTGTTTTTTTTTCACAGACTCATACCTCTGTATATCTGTAGATACTGTCTTGTACCTCTGTATATCTGTAGATACTAACTTGTATCTCTGTATATCTGTAGATACTGTCTTGTACCTCTGTATATCTGTAGATACTGTCTTGTATCTCTGTATATCTGTAGATATTGTCTTGTATCTCTGTATATCTGTAGATACTGTCTTGTATCTCTGTATATCTGTATATCTGTAGATACTGACTTGTATCTCTGTATATCTGTAGATACTGTCTTGTATCTCTGTATATCTGTAGATACTGTCTTGTATCTCTGTATATCTGTAGATACTGACTTGTACCTCTGTATATCTGTAGATACTGACTTGTACCTCTGTATATCTGTAGATACTGTCTTGTACCTCTGTATATCTGTAGATACTGTCTTGTATCTCTGTATATCTGTAGATACTGTCTTGTATCTCTATATATCTGTAGATACTGACTTGTATCTCTGTATATCTGTAGATACTGTCTTGTATCTCTGTATATCTGTAGATATTGTCTTGTATCTCTGTATATCTGTAGATACTGACTTGTACCTCTGTATATCTGTAGATACTGTCTTGTATCTCTGTATATCTGTAGATACTGCCTTGTATCTCTATATATCTGTAGATACCGACTTGCATCTCTGTATATCTGTAGATACTGTCTTGTACCTCTGTATATCTGTAGATACTGTCTTGTATCTCTGTATATCTGTAGATACTGTCTTGTATCTCTGTATATCTGTAGATACTGTCTTGTATCTCTATATATCTGTAGATACTGACTTGTATCTCTGTATATCTGTAGATACTGTCTTGTACCTCTGTATATCTGTAGATACTGTCTTGTATCTCTGTATATCTGTAGATACTGACTTGTATCTCTGTATATCTGTAGATACTGTCTTGTACCTCTGTATATCTGTAGATACTGTCTTGTATCTCTGTATATCTGTAGATACTGACTTGATACTGACTTGTACCTCTGTATATCTGTAGATACTGTCTTGTATCTCTGTATATCTGTAGATACTGACTTGTATCTCTGTATATCTGTAGATATTGTCTTGTATCTCTGTATATCTGTAGATACTATCTGTAGATACTGTACCTCTGACTTGTATATCTCTGTATATATCTCTGTATCTGTATCTCTGTATATCTGAAGATACTGTCTTGTACCTCTGTATATCTGTTGATACTGTCTTGTATCTCTGTATATCTGTAGAGACTGACTTGTATCTCTGTAGATACTGACTCTGTATATCTGTATATCTGTAGATACTGACTTGTATCTCTGTAGATACTGACTCTGTATCGCTGTATATCTGTAGATACTGACTCTGTATATCTGTAGATACTGACTCTGTATATCTGTATATCTGTAGATACTGACTCTGTATATCTGTAGATACTGACTTGTATCTGTAGATACTGACTCTGTATATCTGTAGATACTGACTCTGTAGATACTGACTCTGTATATCTGTAGATACCTCTACTGGTTTATGTAAATCCACTTACTCATACTTGTGTTTATCTAGAGACATTGACTAGTACCTCTGTTAGTTTATCGGCTTGATTTGTTGCAATAAGGAAAGCGCCATCATCCAGTAAATAACATAATAATTCTGCATCATCACCACAGTTCAAAGTTCCAGGGGCTGTGTACTTGTCAATAGTTCTAAGAATCTCCTCCAACAAGGTTTCATGGGAGATAAACAGGCCAACCACTGAAATGTAGAGCATCAAAAGATTATCAGAGATCTACACATCGGCACTGAACAGTGCATGAAACCAAGTGGATTATATTTTGAACAAGAGGCCTAGCAGTCTTGGCGGTTACCTGAGATAAGCGATATTGAATACAAAGACTAAAGGGTAAATAGCTTTCAAATGTCATGAAAAAGAAATTGTGGGGTTAATGATAGCAAGCCAGTGTCAATACATGCATACCATCAAAACTGTCATCCTATACTGATAGTTCTTACAATGATATTTCCAGAGAGAAATAACAACATTATGCTGAAAATGCAATTTCACTGAAATCGGTTCAGGAAGTTTTGAGAAGTTGAAAATGTTAAAATTGTTTATGAATGAACGACGCCAGACAAAGGTTATCACAATAGGTCATCTGTGACGTAAAAATCACAAGATCAGTAAAACAGACCCAATGGACCTGAATTGTTCATAAAACTATTCTGTTTACACAAAATATTTTGTAAGTTTGTTGAGTCAATTTCTACAAACATGAACATGTGACCACACAAATATAATCATCTGGGACCTATTGCTCGTTGAAAATAAGAAATTTTAACTTCTTAACACATTTGATCGCTGTGACCCTGAAAGTGGGTGAATGTTATTCACTTGAACAAGTCCTTCATTCCAGCATGCTACAGGCCCCAAAACAGTATTTGGTTATTTAAAAGAAGCTGTATAAACGGAAAAGCTCCCTTAAAACAATTTTGGCAAGTGAGCTCAAAAAACCATCACTGATGATCTTTTCACTAAATATTTTGTTCCATTGAAATATTCAACAATGTCAATAAATGTGTTAATAAACCTTTCCTTTCAATGAAAAATTCCCTTAAAATGTGTTGAAAAACAGATAAATCAAATTCAAGTTTAAATTTCAAAATGGCCACTGTTCATAAAGTTTCAAGTGCAGCATACACTATAGAGATCAATACTGAAAATGTCGACTAAATCTGAAGAATAGTCAGTAGTCCTTAAGACAAATCAAAAGTATTCATCAACCTTCAAGAAAATTCTGAAAGCAGCTGCCAACAAACAACAGTAACAAACTTAAATGTCAAAACTCAAAATGGACTCTAACATATTGGAATATTTTTAACATGAACATGTGGCGTGCAAAATTAAGGCTGATCCTGAACAATAATTTATGAAGATAATTCATGAACAATTTGAGACATAGTGCCAAAAAGATGTTGTTTCCAAGACAGATTGATGGATTGTTAGACTGAGGGAGAACCACAGACATCAAAAGATTTAGAAAGTCCACTGTCTGATGACTGCCATGCTGATGTGTGTATCATTAACATTCACCCATAGATCATCAACAATGGTCAGTCTCTGATTGGTCAGAACCTATTCTCACATATATGATTTAGATACCTGCTGGTTTATATACATCACCGCCTAGATCCATGCTGATGGCCCTGGTGATGCGGATATGTGGGACACTGTCGTTGACACTCCTCTTGCCTAAGAAAGTAAAAAATAGAGTTATGAAATGATAATCCCTACCGAAAAAAAAAAAATAATAAATAAAACATGATCCATTATCCCACATATCTATAGATGTTTGTAAATTGAGAATATCCATATATATAAAAAGAGCCATTATTTAGAAGCTAACTCCTAAAAGGATACTTGAGCCAATATTTAGCAGCTCACTCTTAAAATAAAACAAAACTTCAAGAGCCATTATTAAGCTGCTAACCCAGATTTCATCATTTGGTTTTTTTTTGTTATTTTTTTTTTCCAGCCTCACTATCAAAATAAACATAGAGCTATTAATAGTATCAAACCAACCTTACTGTCAACATAAACACAGAACTATAAATTGCAAACTAGTCTTACTGTCAAAATAAACACAGAACTATAAATAGTAACAAACTAGTCTTACGTAAAATAGTAACAAACTAGTCTTACTGTCAAAATAAACACAGAACTATAAATAAAACTAGTCTTACTGTCAAAATCGTCAAGAGAGTTATCTCTGGTATATATTTACCCAGTGTGTAGTCTGTGCTAAAAACAGACTTTGATGTGTCTAGGGATCGTCTGTAGTAGATAGCCTTCCAAGTGTCTCGGTCTTTCTCCAATAATCCAGCCTCACTATCAAAATAAACATAGAGCTATTAATAGTATCAAACCAACCTTACTGTCAACATAAACACAGAACTATAAATAGTAACAAACTAGTCTTACTATCAAGATAAACACAGAACTATAAATAGTAACAAACTAGTCTTACTGTCAAAATAAACACAGAACTATAAATAGTAACAAACTAGTCTTACTGTCAAGATAAACACAGAACTATAAAGAGTAACAAACTAGTCTTACTGTCAAGATAAACACAGAACTATAAATAGTAACAAAATAAACACAGTCTTACTATCAAGAATAAACACAGAACTGTCAAAATAAACACAGTAACAAACTAGTCTTACTGTCAAGATAAACACAGAACTATAAATAGTAACAAACTAGTCTTACTGTCAAAATAAACACAGAACTATAAATAGTATCAAACTAGTCTTACTGTCAAAATAAACACAGAACTATAAATAGTAACAAACTAGTCTTACTGTCAAAATAAACACAGAACTATGTCAAAATAGTCTTACTATAAATATAAACACAGAACTATAAATAGTAACAAACTAGTCTTACTGTCAAAATAAACACAGAACTATAAATAGTAACAAACTAGTCTTACTGTCAAAATAAACACAGAACTATAAATAGTAACAAACTAGTCTTACTATCAAGATAAACACAGAACTATAAATAGTAACAAACTAGTCTTACTGTCAAAATAAACACAGAACTATAAAGAGTAACAAACTAGTCTTACTATCAAGATAAACACAGAACTAAATAGTAACAAACTAGTCTTACTGTCAAAATAAACACAGAACTATAAATAGTAACAAACTAGTCTTACTGTCAAGATAAACACAGAACTATAAATAGTAACAAATAAGGATCACTGTCAACATACACACAAAGCTATAAATAGTAATAAACCAGCCTCAATTTGGAAAACAGGATAAGAAGCAACCAAGGGAGTTAATGTTGATATTGTGTATACCCTTACCTTTTTGGAATGATTGTGGTTAATCCGCCGGCGGTTCCCATGAATTGTGCCACCACTCTGTTAAATACCAATAAGTATCATCCCGTGTGGAACACAAGATCACATAGTTTACAGAAATAACACCATCAAGTATCCCTGAACACAAATCTCTATATCATATATTTTACTTCATTTTGTCATATCGATGTAGTCAGATAGGTTTATACACTTACCTATAAACAGAAACTTTCACAATTGAATTGAAACAAAAACAATGCCGCATACATAAACATTTGTATACAAAATCATTTTTTAATTAAACAATTATTACAAAATAAAAAAATTTGTCATTATCAATCTCCATTTTGCATGTAACATTTTTGAATAAAATAAAATGAATGAAAAAGAAGGAGAATCTGTTGAGGATGAAAAGCATCACATGCACCCTACTGTTATCATGGTATCACAATGCACTGATCAACAAAGCCGACACTATAACAGGCACTAGCTAGGATCATATTGGGAGTAAGTACACAAACGTTGGCCCCAAGCTGATTAGGAAATTCTTTTATTGAAACAACATGCAATAAACTAACCCTTAGAAGAAAAAAGAAAGGAGAGAAAAAAAATCCTACCAAAAAGGCCATGTAACCATCTATATCAAAGTCCCAAATTATGGGTAGGAAAGAGGAAAGAAGTTTGATCATTTAATCACCAAAGCATGCATGCATAAACAGTCTATCAGTAGTTTGTTGACATTCTCTCATAACATGTACTTGACTATTTAATGCTAAAGATGTACAGCTTAACTGAAAATCATTCCATACTTATCGTAATTAAGAATTATCAGTATCATCCTAATGCTGTTCATACCCAAATGTTTTACTAACTCAGTACACAGGACTGTGGTTAACACCTAAATATTTACTAACTCAGTACACAGGACTGACGTTAACACCTAAATATTTACTGTACACAGGACTGTGGTTAACACCTAAATATTTACTAACTCAGTACACAGGACTGTGGTTAACACCTGAATATTTACTAACTCAGTACACAGGACTGTGGTTAACACCTAAATATTTACTAACTCAGTACACAGGACTGTGGTTAACACCTAAATATTTACTAACTCAGTACACAGGACTGACGTTAACACCTAAATATTTACTAACTCAGTACACAGGACGGTGGTTCACAACTAAATGCCTTCCCTAACCCAGTACACAGGATGGTGGTTCACAACTAAATGTCTTCCCTAACCCAGTACACTGGACGGAGGTTAACACCTAAATGTCTTCCCAAACTCAGTACACAGAAGAGATGTTAACAACTAAATGTCTTCCCTAATTCAGTACACTGGATGGAGGTTCACGACTAAATGTCTTCCCCAACTCAGTACACAGGAAGGAGGTTCACAACTAAATGCCTTCCCTAACTCTGTACACAGACTGGTGGAGAAAGATATTCTGTTACAACTTCTGATACAAGACAGAGAAATAGTAACAATGGCCTATGAACAATACAGGCAGAGGATCAGAACATAATGTCTTCCCTTTTTTTGAAGGTACACAACAGCAGAGACTTAGTAGAGTGAACACTTTATACAGTGGAAGGTCAGGACTGAACATTTGTTGCAGCCCACACTCCCTACACAGGGAAGATGTTTATTACTAAAGATCTCACAAATTCTTCCCTAACAACTTCCATAGGAGGGGGGCGGGGAGGGTTAAAACCAAATATCTGACTGGTACAATTTGATTTCAAACGCTATACAAAGATAAAGAATCAATTACTTACTGGTACTCACTACTCTACAGTATCTCAAACTGTCTATAGCTGACAGTCAAGGTTTTACAACCAAAAACACCTATCCAGCCTGCAGTCTCTTAGGCTTGTAAAAAGGTAATTTTACAAAGGAATGAAGTTCAGAATAAATCATCATGATGACCAAATAAGTGATAGTGGATTTACTTTAATCTGAGTTCATGTTCAACTTATACCCAAGTTGATAATTAAAACATATCCATATTATAGCAAATTTGAGCCAGAAAAAACAATTAGGAAAAACCATATTAATCAAGAAAGGATCTCAGATTGACAGTCACTATCAGGTTGGATTAAAAGCAACATCAAACTGGTATGGGATATGAAATTTGACTTTGAGCCAGGAACACAAATTGGATTACAAATAAGCGACACTGATCAAGGAATACATGTTGGACAACACTATGCCACTTTGAGCCAGAAGCTAAATTGGATTATTGCATCTTTGTGCTAGAAATAGAGGTTTGAACAATATATAATTTTATGTTTCCTCAATCAGGACTGGCTCATCGTGGCATTTATCCTAAAGGTGAACATGTACTTTGTGTGTACATTTATAATCACTTTAAACATGCATGTTTACTACAAATATCCTGTTGTGAAATTCTTATCAATTTGTGTCTACATTCAATTAAGCCCAGCTTCATTTTACAACCAGCGTGAATTGCCCCCAAATTGACAGGACACTACATCTGTCACCGTACAATATGCACCATTCATACACTACAGTAGGACAGACAGCATTCCTTTACTTGGAGGGCATGCTAAGGTTTATGGCAAGTATTTAAATGTAAAAATTAGAATATTTACTCAATATGTCTGCAAGCATCCAGTTTTTTTTTTAGAAAAACAACAGAAAGCTGTCATCATAATTTTGAAAAATGATTTTGAATATGATATCAGATCTAGTCTTAACAGCATAGTGTTTATCTTAAGTCTCTATGCTTACATAGTTGTAAGCTTTCAAGGTTAATGAGTCAGCAGTATTCTTAAGATAAATATATAGCCAGTGCCATGGTAACAGTGTCAGACTGAACATGAATTGAACATTAACTATGACTAGTAACAGGAATAGAAATAAACCAGAGGCAGGTATTAAGATAACAGGCAGGCCTTGATACTGAAGTCTTAACCCATGGAACATCTAGATAATGAAAACTTAACTAGTAAAACATCCAGATAATGAGGACTTAACTAGTGCCAGGTTTTGATGATGAGGACTTAACTAGTGCCAGGTTTTGATGATGAGGACTTAACTAGTGCCAGGTTTTGATAATAAAGGCTAGAATATTGGCAGGTTTTAATAATAAAGGCTTGAATATTGGCAGGTTTTAATAATGAGGCTCAACTAGTGCCAGGTTTTAATAATAAAGGCTTGAATATTGGCAGGTTTTAATAATAAAGGCTTGAATATTGGCAGGTTTTAATAATGAGGCTCAACTTGGGCCAGGTTTTAATAATAAAGGCTTGAATATTGGCAGGTTTTAATAATAAAGGCTAGAATATTGGCAGGTTTTGATAATGAGGCTCAACTAGTGCCAGGCTTTGATGATGAAGACTTAACTAGTACCAGGTTTTGATAATGAGGCTCAACTAGTACCAGGTTTTGATAATGAGGCTCAACTAGTGCCAGGTTTTGATAATGAGGCTCAACTAGTGCCAGGTTTTGATGATAAAGACTTAACTAGTACCAGGTTTTGATAATGAGGTTCAACTAGTGCCAGGTTTTGATAATGAGGCTCAACTAGTACCAGGTTTTGATGATGAAGACTAAACTAGTGCCAGGTTTTGATGATGAAGACTTAACTAGTGCCAGGTTTTGATAATGATGCTGAACTAGTACCAGGTTTTGATGATGAAGACATAACTACTGCCAGGTTATGATAATGAAGGCTTTGCGTGAAAATTATTTTATTGACCCATGGGGTCCTGTTATAACACCACCCCCCTGACTTCGAGCGAGATCTAATATGTTGACCCCTGGGGTCGTGTATCAAGTCCACTCCCTTGACTCTGAGTGAAAAGTAATGTCTTGACCCCTGGGGTCATGTATTAAGTCCACCCCCTTGACTCTGAGTGAAAAGTAATGTCTTGACCCCTGGGGTCATGTAATAAGTCCACCCCCTTGACTTTGAGTGAGATATAATGTGTTGAGCCGCCCTAAGGTCCTGTATTAAGTCCACCCTCTTGTCTCTGAGTGAAAAGTAATGTCTTGACCCCTGAGGTGCTGTATTAAGTCCATCCCCTTGACACTAAGTGAAAAGTAATGTCTTGACCCCTGGGGTCAAGTAATAAGTCCATCCCCTTGACTGTGAGTGGGATGTTATGTGTTGAGCCCTGAGGTAATGTATTAAGTCCACCCTCTTGTCTCTGAGTGAGATGTAATGTGTTGAGCCCTAAGGTAATGTATTAAGTCCACCCTCTTGTCTCCGACTGAGATGTAATGTGTTGAGCCCTAAGGTAATGTACTAAGTCCACCCTCTTGTCTCTGAGTGAGATGTTTATGTGTTGAGCCCTGGACTTATTAAACATGATGCAAAAGGCCCTTTTTATTTTTCTCAAAGAGTTGCAAGATAGCAGCATTTCATAACCCTCCACCACTGCATGCTGCAAGCAAAGACCTGGACTGTAGCTTGTTAGTCAATTAGAGGGATACCATTAGATCACATAAGGTTCTAATCAGTAAAACAAGATGCATTTCATTTCCTGGTAATTAACATTACAGGAGGTCAAAGGACGTGAAAAGGAGATTTCAGTTTATATCAGATATACCAGATAGGAAATATTAGTATCCATCTCCAAGCGTTAAAGTTATTATTATTATATTAAAAAACAGGTCCTACAGGCATGTACCACTCACCTGCTATAAAATGATAAACATATCTCATAAATATGACCTTAAAAGTAGGTCAAGGAGAATTTTACATTCAAATGATTAAAAAGGTAATTCATGGTATACTTACTTTATAGGATAGCAAAATAAAGGTTAATTATCACATATTTAGCTTTTATTGACTTTCAGAAGAAAGGATTTGTGTTAAAGTCATTTGGAGATGTATCGTAGGCTATATATATATTTTTTTTTTCTAATTGATATTGAATAGATAGACAACAGATGCTGCACCATAAGCTTAGAGACATTCTGTCAGATAATAAAACTCCAAACCAGTATCTAATCAATACTAACTGTACATTGGTAGCATTGACAGATGTGTCATTATTGGTTGTGCTGGAAACAAAACAAAAAACCAATACTATATCGAAGGAGAATATGTTTCTAAATGTATTAATTAATATTAACAGAATGGTTTATAACAACTATACAAAAATAAAACAGATTATACCAAAAGTAAAACCTATACAAAAACATCCATAGGAAATCATAAATATATGTGCATGTTTTCTCTTCACTGACATAATTCATCATTAATTAGCTGATGTTTAATGCTGCATGTGACATGTGAAACTCTGAACTGTTGTGAAACTACACAGCTGTAGGGCAATCTCGATATTGATGGAGTAAAGGTATCGTATCTATGGTTACATATACATCAATCTGTCAGGAGCCAACAGTGATTGTCTCCCTTCTCTGTGAGGAGTCTACCTCTCTGTAGACTTCTATCTATTACACAGAACAATAGAGTGATTGTCTCCCTTCTCTGTGAGGAGTCTACCTCTCTGTAGACTTCTATCTAATACACAGAGTGATTGTCTCCCTTCTCTGTGAGGAGTCTACCTCTCTGTAGATTTCTATCTATTACACAGAACAATAGAGTGATTGTCTCCCTTCTCTGTGAGGAGTCTACCTCTCTGTAGACTTCTATCTATTACACAGAGTGATTGTCTCCCTTCTCTGTGAGGAGTCTACCTCTCTGTAGATTTCTATCTATTACACAGAGTGATTGTCTCCCTTCTCTGTGAGGAGTCTACCTCTCTGTAGACTTCTATCTATTACACAGAGTGATTGTCTACCTTCTCTGTGGGAGTCTACCTCTCTGGAGACTTCTATCTATTACACAGAGTGATTGTCTCCCTTCTCTGCGAGGAGTCTACCTCTCTACACAGAGTGATTGTCTACCTTCTCTGTGGGAGTCTACCTCTCTGGAGACTTCTATCTATTACACAGAGTGATTGTCTCCCTTCTCTGTGAGGAGTCTACCTCTCTGTAGATTTCTATCTATTACACAGAGTGATTGTCTCCCTTCTCTGTGAGGAGTCTACCTCTCTGTAGACTTCTATCTATTACACAGAGTGATTGTCTACCTTCTCTGTGGGAGTCTACCTCTCTGGAGACTTCTATCTATTACACAGAACAATAGAGTGATTGTCTCCCTTCTCTGTGAGGAGTCTACCTCTCTGGAGACTTCTATCTATTACACAGAACAATAGAGTGATTGTCTCCCTTCTCTGTGAGGAGTCTACCACTCTGTAGACTTCTATCTATTACACAGAACAATAGAGTGATTGTCTCCCTTCTCTCTACCTCTCTGTAGATTTCTATCTATTACACAGAGTGATTGTCTCCCTTCTCTGTGAGGAGTCTACCTCTCTGTAGATTTCTATCTATTACACAGAGTGATTGTCTCCCTTCTCTGTGAGGAGTCTACCTCTCTGTAGACTTCTATCTATTACACAGAGTGATTGTCTACCTTCTCTGTGGGAGTCTACCTCTCTGGAGACTTCTATCTATTACACAGAACAATAGAGTGATTGTCTCCCTTCTCTGTGAGGAGTCTACCTCTCTGGAGACTTCTATCTATTACACAGAACAATAGAGTGATTGTCTCCCTTCTCTGTGAGGAGTCTACCACTCTGTAGACTTCTATCTATTACACAGAACAATAGAGTGATTGTCTCCCTTCTCTGTGAGGAGTCTACCACTCTGTAGACTTCTATCTATTACACAGAGTGATGGTCTTACATCTACACAATACTAAGCCCTTTAATACACACTGCACTCCTTTCTTAATGATAGACCATGTTCATAAATATCATTAAAGAGCAAATAATGCAAACTACTGATTCTGTACAGAACTAATAGACTTACTCACTGTACTGTATTAACAACAGTTGTCATTGAGTGTGTGAGAAGTGAGACAATTCCTAGAAATAGGAAAAATCACAGAGACAAAAGAACTGTATCCAACCAAGCAATCAGGAACAGATGACAAGTATATCCCCACTTTACAAAGATTGTTACTTACAATAGATATTAAATCCTGCTGAACCCTCTATCTGGTCATACCTACCGTTTATGACAGATATTGTGTACAGTAGTACATGAGCTTGCTGACAAAGTTTTGTTTAATAATAAATGCATTGGAGCATAACACTGTGAAGCAGTTACTAAATGCAACTGCACTCAACAAATACTGCATACCTAAAACGTCATATATCCTATAAACAATTAAAAGAAAACCATCTAAAAAACATTTGGCAATATGTTACCTAAAGGGGTCTTTATTCTTCCAAAAAATAATCAAAATGGAAAAAAATTGTTTGAGGATGCACAAAATAGACGGGGAACACTTTTGTCCAGTTTCAAATGAAAGGGCATAACTCTCTTACAAGGGTCAATATGCAAAATCACTCCAAGAAGCACAAATCCATATGGTTATGGCACTTAGATAAAAACTTTTTTTTTTTAATTGGAAAAAGTGGAAATGTATAGCCAGACAAAGTTGTGCTCATTTTTCACAGGAAAGGAACAAACTCTGTAATAAAGATATCAGTAGGCTGATTGTCACGTGTAAGAAACTTCAGTGAAAACTGAGTGAATATATAACCAGACAGATTTTGTCTATAGACAAAAGTATAGCTGCCACATATGTATAGGTAGTCCCACATGAAATAGGAATTGTTGGTATGCAATGTAGTGTCGGGATGCCACATATTATTGTGTTTGTGACAGTGACATATGAAATAGGAATAATTTATATGCAATGGAGTGTCGGAATGCCACATATTATTGTGTATGTGGCAGTGACATATAAAATAGGAACAGCTGGTATGCAATGTAGTGTCGGGATGCTACATATTGTTGTGTATGTGGCAGTGACACATGAAACAGGAATTATTGGTAAATGACATAGCGACTATTATCTTACCCTATGATAAGAGTTATAAAATGTATACCTTTTGTTGGTGCCAATAGGATGACCTGCTGCTGCCATGTCTGTCCAGTAGTTTTCAAACAACTTGGCCATCTGCATGTCCCAATGTAAATGTTTTACCTTATCCACGTCAACATTCAGGCCAGGTGCAACTGTTGAGGAAAATAACACTAAGCATTATTTGTTCTCTTCACAACAAAGGAGACTCTATGGGCAAATATCCCTCACCTATTCTATTGTTTGTAAATAAAGGCTATTGTTTAAATATTTTATTTTGGTAACTTTCGTGTTCCTCCCACACATTATTTTTTTATTCCCTCTTTTCAATCGAGCCCCGAGTAAAAGCAGGAAACTCTTGGTTTCTTGATAATTCAAATTTCTTTCTAAAAATTTCGGCATACTCATCCAAGCAAGCTCCTTGATCATTATCACAATATTGGGTCTTTTTAAGGGAATATAATATAAACAAGTATTTCTATCAGACTTTAGCATACTTACATTTGAGGTTTTCACACTTCTGTTTGAGCTGGAGGACTTTATGAATGTCAGCTAAAAAGCCTGTCATGTTGCCATTAGATTGTCCCTCATAGTAATCCCTGATACAAACACAGTTTAACTAAATCAGTAAAATTACGCTCTAGACTGTCCTCCATAGTAATGTCTGACAGAGACACATTGTCACTAAATCAGTTATCATTATGTAATTAAAACTTACATCAAGGCTTTCCCACCTCAATACAGCCCAGCTTATATCCTCGTCTTTTAAAACTCAGCTGAATCAATATGCACTAGATTGACAAATTATGAGGTTTGTTGTACCCGTAGCCTTTGAAAATTATATGATTCTGAATTGAAGAAATACAATTCCTGATCCAACACTTTACAAATGAATCCCAAGTCGAACACTTTATTGTTAATACCATTACAAAAAGGTAACATTTTCCCATACCATTGCACTTTCTAGCCATGTATTAAATCATGTAACAGGTCACAAGGCTTAATTCTAAATCCAACATTGGAGAAAACACTGTACAATAGTGATTATAAATTGATCAAAAAAACCATAATCAATTATCAGTTAAAATAAATAGGATATTTTATTTGATGAAGTTAAAGGATTGCATGATTGGCTGTGTGTTTGTAGTAAGTGAATGCATTCTCCTTTGCAGTAATATTTTAAAATAAACACTCACGAATAAGAATGTGCGCAATAATGAATATCACTGGCAATGGGCAATTTGTGCATAATATGAATATTGTTTTTGATCTAAAACACAAGAAAAAAGTAAGGTACCGATGATCGATTATGAAAAATTGCGATCAATAATCACATCAGATGAGGTTAAATAATTAGAACTGATCTGATCAATGTCCCATCACTTTTGTACATTATCTGTACATCTATATCAACATTAATAAAGGTAGAATTCAATCACAACATATCCAAGCGTTACCAATTAGTGGGTAATTTATTACAGTCGACTAGTTTCACCTCTAGGATGAGGCTTCATCAGGACAAATTTTCTGACAATTTTCACCCCTGAAGTACTAAAAATGGGGCTCGCTTTTGCATTGTGACGTTATATGTAAACATGTACATAGTACTAAGGGCAGTAAGCCGTTATATTAACTTAATAAAGTATTTGTATTTAACCATGTCTCTGAGTAATATTTGTTAAGCAATGTTTCTGTTATGTATTTTTACTTTCTCTCATCCAAACACAGGGTGCTGGTGGACACTGATACATATGCTAATGTCTTGTAGTTCACTTCTAGTGGTTCACTCTTATCCGAGGTGGTATCAGATAAGTCACTCAGAAAAAAGTCTTCTTTTAAAGTTTCCATGCTCTTGTCTTGACTGCTTGTAGGTGCCGGTGAAGTAGTATGAGTTCCAGTAGCCGGTCTTACCTTAAATTTGATCAATTCTAACTGTTGTTTTGTGAGCGCCTCTGTCGGCCTATTCCATTTCTTTGGTGTGGTCGCTTCTTTCCTGGTAGTGTCTTCCATTATCTCTGGCTCTGTAGTAAGGATGTTCCAAGTTTAAGTGGCGGTCATAATGTTCCTTTCTTCAGTAGGATTTTTTACATATTTTACACATGTACCTCGTGTTGCTATGCTTTCCATGCGCATGGTTGACGTGTCTTCGTAGGTTTCCTATAGAAGCATATTTCTTCCCACGTATGATGCATGGTATTTTAATTCTTACAGGTGCTAGTGCTGACTTCTTGTTCTTGACCTTAGTAGTTTTAGTGTTCGCAATATCCTTAAGTAATAATGTTCATGCCCCAGGGCCGCTGTGTACGTAAGATATGAATCCAAGATTCTTCGGTTTGTAGCCTATTGTTGACGTCATGTTTACCGGCCACAATGCCCATAACCATGACGTCATTAGTATTGTGATCAGGTAGGTTAAAATGTGCCGCCACTGGCTTCCTCTCTTCTCTGCGGGCAATGTCGTACAAGTGATTCCTGGTTCTTGTGTTGATGGTATTCGACGTTTGACCTACATATTGTATGTGGCATTTTTTGCAGCTTATGAGATAAACCGCATCTTTACTCTGACAGTCTATGTATTCTTTGATACGATAAGTTTCTTTTGTGGTGTGACTAGTAAACGAGTTACTCGAATTCATATGTCCACATATTTTACAGTTCTTACCGCATGGCCGACTTCCCGCGGTTTCGTGTACATTTGCGATATCGCTACGTACCAGATAGTTCTGTAGCGATTTAGGTCTAGTGTATGCTACAAGCATACTAGCGGTGAGTATCTTTTCTGTTTCTGGGTTGTATCTCAATATATGTTCGTTGTTCTTTATGATTCCAGCTATGTTTGGATTGTTCGGATTAAACGGGAGAACGAATGGTATGACTTTATTTCCCCGGTCGTGGGGTTTGTTTTTCAACAGACTGGATCTGGTGGTGTTTCTAGCTTTTTCAATCGCCTGTGTGATTAGTAGTGACGGGTACCCTCTTTCGATAAATCTTTCATGGAGTTTCACGCATTCTTGTTAAAAATCTACGTCCGTGCTACATATTTTCCTAATTCGTAGTGAGACAATGGGATGTTTGTTCTTTGGTGATTCGGATGGCTACTTTGGTAGTGTAAATATTGGAAGGCATTCGTGGGTTTGTTGTAAATGCGGCTACCTAGTGTCCTATCCTCATTAAGAAATACAGTGGTATCGAGGAAATTAATTGACTCGTCACTGATTTCGAATGTGAACTTAATTGTAGGGTGATATGAGTTGAGTGCTTCTAGGAAGGAGGCAAGTGACTCTCAAGGGTGGGGCCAGATGAAAAATATGTCATCTATATATCTCCACCACACTAGTGGGATATGTTTAGCAGTGGATAGGAATCTGTTTTCTAGGTAGTTCATGAATATAATGGCGTAATTTGGGGCCATTTTTGTTCCCATGGCTTTTCCCTGGGTTTGCAAGAAAAATTCTTGATTAAATTGGAAACAACTGTTTGTGAGGATGATTGCTATCATTCTTAGTATGATCCACGTAGCTGGTGATTTTGTGGGTCTGTCATCTAACGCTTGTTTTACAGCTCTGATGCCGTCTGTGTGTGGAATGGATGTTTATAGTGAGGACACATCCGCCGTGCAGAGTAAACTTGCCGGCGGCAATGCGCCTAGTTCATTTATTTTTCGTAAAAAAATCAGTGGTGTCCCGTATGTAGGATTTGGTTTGAATTGCAAGTGGTTTGAGATGATAATCCACAAATGCTGATAGGTTCTCTGTACAGCTTCCTATTTGAGATATGATCGGTCTTCCAGGATTGCCTACTTTGTGTGTTATTGGTAACAGATCAAATATCAGTGTTCGCGGATTTTTGGGTTTTAGAAACGAAATTGTATGGTCTTCTAGTAATGATCGATCCTCGACAAATTTAAGGAATTGGTTCACTTTCTTTAATAATTGGTAGTTTGACTCATTATATAGTTTGCGGTGGGCTTCTTCTATGTAATCTGTTTTGTTAAGAATTACAATCGCGCCCCCTTTATCGGCGGGCTTAATAACTATATCTTTATTATCACGTAAGTCTTGCAGTGCTTTCCTTTCTCCGGTGTGAAGGTTAGGTGTTACGTGTTTTGATTTGATGCCTGATTTCACGGATTCTGTTACTATATTTAGAAAGGTGTCTAAATGACTATCAATTCCGGACAGTGGGGTCCAGCCGGAATCAACATTACATACAGATTTTCTCCCTCAATCAACATAACTAAACTATGTCAGTAGACCACTTCCTCCATACACAGAGGGATACAAATGGATTGCTTACTGAGGATCTCTTCAGAATAACACATCAGCACTTAATCATCAGAAAAATCTTATAAACTTACCATGGAGCAACCAGGACTTCAGATTGTGAGAAGTTCATATCAGCTAAAATATGAAAAATAAAAAGATGAGTGAAGTGTGGTGAACAACATCGGCAAATTACAAAAGTCGACTTTCTAGTGGACAAATTTTTCTAAAATCATAAATAAAAAAGAATTTTCATATAGGATTTATGTCTAAAATTACAGTAATATATCAATACACAAAAAAATTTCTGGAGAGTATTAGGTAAAATTTATATACTCATGAGAGTTATCTCCCCTACTACTATACGCTCATGTCTTACATTAGTATTATCAATATATCGAAGTACTCACTTATATAACAAGCATTTCCCTCTATCTGTGGATATCTCTTCTGGTACAGAGGCAGACTGACTCCCAAGCTGCAATACATTAAAAGTATGGAAACTTTTAGAGACAAACTTAAAAGTATGGAAACTTTTAGAAGCAAAGCAGACAATTGACCTGATAGTGAAAGTTTGAAGCAGGACACTTTTAGAAGCAAGGCTGAAAAAGTTTCAAATTGTTAATTAGTAAATAGGCAGAGTAATTTTCAAAACCATAAACATGCTTATGCCTTTCTCATACAAGAGTATTAGTGAAACTGATGCTCCCCGTAAATGACTTTTTTGGACACAAAATTTTACTAAAGAGCAATAATTCTACAATTAAAGGGTTGACTTTGGTGTACAGCACACCAAGTTTTGTTATCCTAGTTTTGATGCAAGCAAAGTTATATTCATAACACAAAATTTTAACAAAGCGCAATAACTCTGTATTGAGAGGTCACAGGCCCTGGCTTTGCTTAGCTGCACCTTGCTTTTGTGTGACTGGTGTATTCATCGCCTTTTAATATCCTAGATTACATGCATGCACACAGACATCTTGTATAAAGGTGTATTATAAAAATGTCTTTTCTATATACAGAATTTTCTTTCCTAGATTCTGTAGACACAAACCTGAAGTTGGTACCATTGATTACAGTGTAGGAATAGTTCCTCTTCTCCACATCTACATGTCTCTGTAGAAGAAAAACAAAACAATTATCTCAAAATAGTCTGTAGTATGTATTCTACCATTGATGTTTAATTTGTACACAAATTTAGTCTGTAGTATGTATTCTACCATTGATGTTTAATTTGTACACAAATTTAGTCTGTAGTATGTATTCTACCATTGATGTTTAATTTGTACACAAATTTAGTCTGTAGTATGGATTCTACCATTGATGTTTAATTTGTACACAAATTTAGTCTGTAGTATGGATTCTACCATTGATGTTTAATTTGTACACAAAATAGTCTGTAGTATGGATTCTACCATTGATGTTTAATTTGTACACAAATTTAGTCTGTAGTATGGATTCTACCATTGATGTTTAATTTGTACACAAATTTAGTCTGTAGTATGGATTCTACCATTGATGTTTTAATTTGTACACAAAATAGTCTGTAGTATGGATTCTACCATTGATGTTTTAATTTGTACACACATTTAGTCTGGAGTATGGAGTCTACCATTGATGTTTAATTTATACACAAATTTAGTCTGTAGTATGGATTCTACCATTGATGTTTTAATTTGTACACAAAATAGTCTGTAGTATGGATTCTACCATTGATGTTTTAATTTGTACACAAATTTAGTCTGTAGTATGGATTCTACCATTGATGTTTAATTTGTACACAAATTTAGTCTGTAGTATGGATTCTACCATTGATGTTTAATTTGTACACAAAATAGTCTGTAGTATGGATTCTACCATTGATGTTTAATTTGTACACAAATTTAGTCTGTAGTATGGATTCTACCATTGATGTTTTAATTTGTACACAAAATAGTCTGTAGTATGGATTCTACCATTGATGTTTTAATTTGTACACAAATTTAGTCTGTAGTATGGATTCTACCATTGATGTTTAATTTGTACACAAATTTAGTCTGTAGTATGGATTCTACCATTGATGTTTAATTTGTACACAAAATAGTCTGTAGTATGGATTCTACCATTGATGTTTAATTTGTACACAAATTTAGTCTGTAGTATGGATTCTACCATTGATGTTTTAATTTGTACACAAAATAGTCTGTAGTATGGATTCTACCATTGATGTTTTAATTTGTACACAAATTTAGTCTGTAGTATGGATTCTACCATTGATGTTTAATTTGTATACAAATTTAGTCTGTAGTATGGATTCTACCATTGATGTTTAATTTGTATACAAATTTAGTCTGTAGTATGGATTCTACCATTGATGTTTTATTTGTATACAAATTTAGTCTGTAGTATGGATTCTACCATTGATGTTTAATTTGTATACAAATTTAGTCTGTAGTATGGATTCTACCATTGATGTTTAATTTGTATACAAATTTAGTCTGTAGTATGGATTCTACCATTGATGTTTAATTTGTACACAAATTTAGTCTGTAGTATGGATTCTACCATTGATGTTTAATTTGTACACAAATTTAGTCTATAGTATGGATTCTACCATTGATGTTTAATTTGTACACAAATTTAGTCTGTAGTATGGATTGTCTTATCAAACATTGATGTTTTAATTTGTACACAAATTTAGTCTGTAGTATGGATTATCTTATAAAACCATTGATGTTTAATTTGTACACAAAATAGTCTGTAGAATGGATTCTACCATTGATGTTTAATTTGTATACAAATTTAGTCTGTAGTATGGATTCTACCATTGATGTTTAATTTGTATACAAATTTAGTCTGTAGTATGGATTCTACCATTGATGTTTAATTTGTACATAAATTTAGTCTATAGTATGGATTCTACCATTGATGTTTAATTTGTACACAAATTTAGTCTGTAGTATGGATTGTCTTACCAAACATTGATGTTTTAATTTGTACACAAATTTAGTCTGTAGTATGGATTGTCTTATCAAACATTGATGTTTTAATTTGTACACAAATTTAGTCTGTAGTATGGATTGTCTTATCAAACATTGATGTTTTAATTTGTACACAAATTTAGTCTGTAGTATGGATTATCTTATAAAACCATTGATGTTTTAATTTGTACACAAATTTAGTCTGTAGTATGGATTGTCTTATCAAACATTGATGTTTTAATTTGTACACAAATTTAGTCTGTAGTATGGATTGTCTTATCAAACATTGATGTTTTAATTTGTACACAAATTTAGTCTGTAGTATGGATTGTCTTATCAAACCATTGATGTTTTAATTTGTACACAAATTTAGTCTGTAGTATGGATTGTCTTATCAAACCATTGATGTTTTAATTTGTACACAAATTTAGTCTGTAGTATGGATTGTCTTATCAAACATTGATGTTTTAATTTGTACACAAATTTAGTCTGTAGTATGGACTCTCTTATCAAACCATTGATGTTTTAATTTGTATACAAATTTAGTCTGTAGTATGGACTCTCTTATCAAACCATTGATGTTTAATTTCTATACAAATTCTACATCTGTGTGTATGCTTTCTTTTCTTTTTATATTTAAGGGAGACAACTCCAATGTTTATTTATACACTTGTGGCATTTAGTCTGCTCTTTGGTGCTGTACCTGAACTTGACCAGTCCACATCATATAAGGTGTCTGTTGTGATATCCAGTTATTTATTAAATTATTATCTAATAAAGATACAGATCTCAATATAGCCACATATAAATAAAAGCAATGTTACCTCATCTGGTGATTTAACATAGGTCTTGATCATCATGGAATCAATGTTATGGTCTATCATATCTTTACGTAGCTGAAAAATAGAAAAATAACGTGTTTACACCATAGCAGTATAGGCATCCTAGAAATATTTACTGGTACAAATGAATTCTCAATGGCAAGTAACATTTTATCATGAAATTCTGACTGAATAGCTTTATAGTGTACCTTGAATGTCAATTAACTCTTTACTTTCAATTCAAGAAATGTGAATATACATTTTTAATTAGATAGCAATCTTGACTGTTAACTGAATTCTATTTTTCATTTAAGAAATATAAACATATTTAAATTAGATATCTACCTTGATGGTCATGTCATTCTCCACCTCTAAGTCCAGGAAATCCATATTTGGAGGATCTTTAAGGTAATGCTACAACAAAATGGCTTATACAAATATAGAGTTATATTAATCTATCACTATAGCACTACGGACACACATCACCATTCTTGTGGAAATAGCCCTATGTTATATTTTTCTTTACCCATCAATCAACAATATTTATATATACAGTATATTTTCTATATAGATTTAAAATCAACTTTCTTTTTATTGTAAGCCCTTTAATTTCACACCAGATAATTTATATTTCCGTAAATGAAATGATAAAGTAATACTCAAACTGAAGAAGACTGTCATACTCACATTGATCTTTAGGAGGGGATGAAATATCACATAGCCATTGGTGTTGATAGCAAAGGTGTAGCCATTAGGACCAAGCTAGAAGAAAGAAATAGTCATACTAGTATAAAGTATGGAGTATAAAGTATCAGTTATAACCTGATAACTACTTTCAGGAATGGGGGAATGTCAGTTATTGGGAGATAAATACCTTCTAAAGAGGGAAATATCACTTATAGAGAGATAACTGCCTTCCAGAGTAGGAAATATCAGTTACAGGTAGATAACTACCTCCTAGGTGGCCAGTATCAGTTAATGGGGAATAACTCCCTTCTGAAGTAGGAAATATCAGTTATATAGGGAAACATGTACATTTCAAGAGTTATAGGGAGATAACTACCTACCTGATAGGGAATTATCACTTAAAAGGAGATTTAACTACTGGAGTAGGAAATTTACATTTACAGGGAGATAACTACCTATTGGGAGTGGTTAGTATAAGAGAAACAGAGCACTGAATAAGGGCATATCTGTATAGCTGTCATCTGGACCATTTTGTATTAGACAAGGGGAGAAAACTTCCTTCTGGGGTGATGAGTATTAGGCGAGATGCAGTAACTACCTTCTGGACTGTTGTGGATAAGACAAGGGGAGGTAAGCACTTTCTGAACTTGTAGGTATTAGACAATAGGAGATAACTACCTTCCAGACTGGGGAGAACCTCTCCATTTGTGCTGTAGTTACATCAATACCCATGACTCCAAGGATTGTCTGGTTAGACTGGAACACAAACAAAACAACCCAGTGTCATTATAACACACACAATTAACAGCAGAAAAATCATAAAACATTTAGTTACAAAGGCAAAGATCTTGTAGTAAACTCAAAACTTTTCATTTTCCTCTCTACCCTAGATCTTGTAGTAAACTCAAAACTTTTCATTTTCCTCTCTACCCTATCTCTAATACTTCCAAACTATCAGATACAAAATTCAAGGATTTCACAATTGCTCAAAAATTTAACCTGGAATAGCTATTCAGCACAAGTCCAGTTTTTAATTACATGTGTACAAAGAGTCTAAACATGATAGCTTTTTCTGTTTTAAGAATATGACCGATTTTAGCAAAGATTACAAATGGATAAACTAAGTAATCAGTAATGAAAAGGCCTAACTTTGTGATTATTAGTTCCTTACTTACCGCTCCTACAGTGCGATTATACACAGGCAGTGTTACAGTGGTCATCATGCCCAGCCCCTACAATGTGTAGGTCATGATATATTTATTGTCTTTATACTCCAGTTTATAGTTGTTTTAGCTTTATCAACAATTGTTTTATCTTCAAAATTAACCTCTGTTGTACATTAAATTATAAACATTTGTAAGAACATTGCTATGAACAAAATCAAAACACAAGTTATTGATCTGAATTGACATAAAATCTTCTTAAAAGTTATTCAGTTCCAATGTATCATCGATAGTTATGCATCACTGTATGAAGACTTCATTCCATTTAAATTAAAATTTTCTCAAATATGAGATGGCGAATGAATTCTCAGCAAGAGAGTCAACAGAACGTGGACACTATATGTACACATCATTTTTAACAATTATCTCTGTAATTTTCATTGAAATTAATTAATTATATCCCATTATCTTGATATACACTAACAGATGATTGTTGATTCTTGACAATATTTTAGCTGATTAATTGAAAAGAAATTAGCTCACCCTCTTTTAATTTCACATCAAAAATAAATTTGTATACATCAATGTATTTGATAATACATGCATAAACATAAAAACACAACACTCATAATAAATGCATGCAAAGTGAAAGTTGTAAATATTTTGTTAAGTCAGCTGCTGTTATATGAATCATTAGTGGTATGTCAAAGTAAGTTTTGTATATAAGAGATAATATGATAATATATCTACTTTATATTTTATTCATAAATATGTTTATTACAAATATTAGGCTGTATATATATGTTTGTATATTAAATGTAGGACAATACATGGACTTTCAAGATATGATGTTGAAAATTACCATATTGTCCTTCATTCATCCTGAAATTTTATTGTAAGTTATATGATTATATAATGTATAAGGAATTATGAGATCACCCCACTTTAAAGAAACTCATGAGAATTAAGAGGGTAGCAAAAAAACTCAACCAAGAATATGACAAAAGAAAGTAACACTATCCCACAAACTAACAGTAAAAAACAAACAGAGAATGCTCTTTATTTATGAAACTTAAATTTTGTATTTTTTCTGTCAAAAAATTGTATCTGCAATATATAAGGACTTTTCACATCAATATTACACGAAATGATGACATTGACCAAATGATAATGACAGACTGAAAACCAAGACAACAGGAAACAATTTGAGCACTACTAGTGAACTAACACACCTTCACAGACAACAAGGTATATAGACACTTAATAATCAGTGTTTTCTGCAGTTTTTATTTTACAAACATAATTAATGTTAAATTCTTTTGGGACAAGATCTGATTTATCTTTAATCTATACTGATTACAGAGAATCTTTTATTCATTTATACTAAAGCAGTGCTCTGTATCTTAATTAGATGCTCATTTGCCAACAGAAGGTAATGCACACTTCATGTGATTGTCTGTGACTCTATGACAAGAGACTCAATATTCATAGCCATACTGGTAATCACTATCAATTTGATGTTTGTTCTCTATGTTATGCTGCATACCATCATAGACATCTATTTGCAAGTAAATTCATGCCTTGATCTGGATCATCTTGATGCTTGCATAATTGTTCTACATACTAAAATACACACCATAAAAACTTATCAGTAAGTTTATGAAGGACACATCGCAGAGAAATCAATTTCCCATTACATCTCTCTGAAGAAAACACTGAATGCCAAAGTAAGGATAGCTCTGGGGCTGTAAATGGCCACGATACACCCCTGATGTCCCCCTGAAGAAAACACTGTATACTGATGGTACGATCACTCGACTATATTAACTATACCAGTCTGTCTTGATAGATATTTCCAAATTTGAAGAGTTTTTTGTTCTGCAAAGCTTGTGGGCGACTCAGAACCGGCACATACTCCTTTAAACAAAGTTAGTAACGAAAAAATAAAATAAAATGTAAGTAATAATATATATCTGTACAAGGTAAAATTAGGAGTTGTCATATCAAGTAAAAAAAAGTCCAGTGACATGCCGTGAAGATAAAACAAAATCATTCTTAAAATAAAGCACCCCATTTTATAGGAATGAAATGAAGTAAAGATTATACTGAAGTAAAAACTCTTCAGCAGACAGAAATACTATGACAGGTGTCACATGTAGTGAAGTAATGTAACGCCATCATAGAACCAGGAATCATCAATAGGGTACAGGGAATTCTTCAACAGTAAACAGGTCACAACAGGATATAGTGACCTCCTCCAGCTGACAGGTCACAACAGGGTACAGGGACCTCCACAAGCTGACAGGTTACAACAGAGTACAGGGACCTTCACAAGTAGACAGCTCATAACAGGATACAGGGACCTTCACAACTAAACAGGTCATAACAGGATACAGGGACCTTCACAACTAGACAGGTCATAACAGGATACAGGGATCTTTTACAGTTCACAGAAAGATACAGTGGCATCCTACAGTTAACAGGTCACACAACGATATAGGACCTCCGCCAGTAAACAGGCCACAACATAATACAGGGACCACCTACTTTCAGAAAACAGGTCACACAATGATATAGAGACCTCCGCCAGTAAACAGGAGAATATGGAGACCTCTACAAGAAAGTCTCCATATGTAAAAAGGTCACAACACGTTACAGGGACCTTCACAAGTAGACAGGATACAACAGGATACAGGGACCACCACAAGTAGACAGGTCACAACAGGATACAGGGACCTCCACAAGTAGACAGGTCACAACAGGATACAGGGTCCTCCACAAGTAGACAGGTCACAACAGGGTACAGGGACCTTCACAAGTAGACAGGATACAACAGGATACAGGGACCTCAATAAGTAAAAAGGTCACAACAGGATACAGGGAACTCCACAAGTAGACAGGTCATAACAGGATACAGGGATCTCCACAAGTAGACAGGTCACAACAGGGTACAGGGAACTCCACAAGCAGACAGGTCACAACAGGATACAGGGACCTCCACAAGTAAAAAGGTCACAACAGGGTACAGGGACCTCCGCAAGTAGACAGGTCACAACAGGATACAGGGACCTTCACAAGTGGACAGGTCACAACAGGATACAGGGACCTCCACAAGTAGACAGGTCACAACAGGGTACAGGGACCTCCGCAAGTAGACAGGTCATAACAGGATACAGGGACCTCCACAAGTATAAAAGTCACATCAGGATACAGGGACCTCAATCAGTAAAAACTTTTATATTAGGGTACAGGGACCTCCACAAGTAAAAAGATCACAACAGGTTACAGGGACCTCCACAAGTAGACAGGTCACAACAGGGTACAGGGACCTCCACAAGTAGACAGGTCACAACAGGGTACAGGGACCTCCACAAGTAGACAGGTCACAACAGGGTACAGGGACCCCCACAAAGAGACAGGTCACATTACGGCAAATGGACCTCCACAAGTAAAAAGGTTATAACAGGATACAGGGACCTCCACAAGGACCTCCACAAGTAAAAAGGTTATAACAGGATACAGGGACCTCCACAAGTAAAAATGTTATATTTGAGTACAGTGACCTCCACAAGTGGACAGGTCACAACAGGATACAGGGACCTCCACAAGTAGACAGGTCACAACAGGGTACAGGGACCTCCACAAGTAAAAGGGTTATAACAGGATAAGGGACCTCCACAAGTAAAAATGTTATATTTGGGTACAGGGACCTCCACAAGTAAAAAGGTTATATTCGGGTACAGGGACCTCCACAAGTAGACAGGTCACAACAGGGTACAGGGACCTCCACAAGTAGACAGGTCACAACAGGATACAGGGACCTCCACAAGTGGAAAGGTCACAACAGGATACAGGGACCTCCACAAGTAGACAGGTCGCAACAGGGTACAGGGACCTCCACAAGTAGACAGGTCACAACAGGATACAGGGACCCCCACAAGTAAAAAGGTAATATTCGGGTACAAAGACCTCCACAAGTAAAAGTGTTATATTATGGTACAGGGACCACCAATAGGAAACAGGTGAACAAATATCATGCAGGTGAGAGTGGAGTGTGGAGAGTTAACAACAGGAAAACCCTGGGATGTTTAGTGTTTTTAAAGCTAATCATTCATGAACTAAACAGATCAAAATATTTATCACAATCAATTATAATCCTCTTTCTCAGCATTACCAGCATTTATCTGATCAATCTAGCAACCAAATCTGGACAAAAATAAAACAAAATCTGGCCAAGGAGTTTAATGCAAATTCAGTGGGGGACAATGTGCATTCAAAACTCATCAATGTTAATCAACTAATGAAAAACTTCACAAAGGGAGATTACTGTAAGCATTCACTGTAACTAACTTTTTCATATGAGAAAATGCTGAATAATTCATACTCTATTTCCTATGTTTGTTTTTTTTTAATTCATTATCCATCTACAATCTGAAGGAAAGAAAAAGATAAGGATTTATCTTTTTTTTTTTACAATGATTTTTGTAAAATAAATATGAAAGTAATAAATCCTTTAAAATTTCACAATACCCTAATACATACAGCATTATAACATCTAGTCTACAGCTAGGTATCTGGGTCATTAGTGTTAATCGTTAATCGGCACTCGAGCTGGGTCATTCCATCAACTAGAGGGGATAACCTCCCAACACTACAAACGTCACACAGAGGTCAGTTACCCTTGGATCATTGTTTAAACGCCACTGTGTATCCGAAATATTTAAGCTCCCTTTTGTCTCCACAAGTAGTGGCATATATTCCTGTCAAAATAGCGCACAATTTCTTTACACAAAATCAATCTTGGAAAAGAAAAAAATTCCTTTGCATGGCACTGCAGTAAAAACAGAAATTATTTTGAGCAAAATCAAGAATGGTGAGATAAAATGATATCAAACAAAAACAGATGAAACAAAAATGAAATGTAGAACGACCAACATAGTTCCACATTGAGTGATGATATTCACAAGACAGAGTACAATAATATTGCATTCAAAATAGGTGGTGAGAGCATGACGTCTGGACCAGGTGAGTATGAAGTGGTCCATCTTGGTCTGTAAATAAGATATAGTGAAAACACTCATTACTAGCAACCATCACCCAAGACCACTTCTCTCTATGTACACGGTACCTCATTCACAAAACTCCACACCAGGGCTAAACTACAAATTCTATTTTTAACAAAACAGAAAAATACTGATACAGAACTATTAATTCTACAATATGGTTACTATAACAGTCACAAAATCTCTATCAGCAGAATTGATTTAAATGTACCACGTCAAGTCAGCAAACAAAATGATTCCTGTGTCACTAACAGGGTATCTAACTCCATCTCTACTCTATACATAGACAGGGTATCTTACCTGTTCTCTACTATGGACAAGGAATATATGTTTTTGGTTGTTGTATGTTTACAAGGTCATCTGTCTTTGATGGTTGTATGTTTACAAGGTCATGTGTCTTAAACAGTTGTATATTTATGAGGTCATCTGTCTTCCATGGTTGTATGTTTACAAGGTCATGTGTCTTAAACGGTTGTATGTTTACAAGGTCATCTGTCTTCCATGGTTGTATGTTTACAAGGTCATCTGTCTTCCACGGTTGTGTGTTTACAAGCTATCGAAGAATATATAATTTAAATAAAAAGACTATAGAAATGATGGTTCTTCTTTAAAACTATAAAAAACAATATTTCAGGTCATACATTAATAAAGACCTTAACCAATCATTGTAAATATCATAATCATGATAGGATCAGCTGTGAGTACATCACCAGTCTATAATATCTCATTGAAGTATATTTAAAAACCAAGGTCATTGAAAATGAAAAAAGAACATTATTATAAGTTGTCTGTCAGTAAGAAAACAACCGAGGTCACTGGTAGATATAATAAAAACACTATGATAAGCAAGATGTCGGAAAGTAGAAATTATCATAATGTCATATATAAAAACATTATAATTACATGGAGACATCTCTCCAGAGTTAACCACCCAAGCAAGTCAAAGTGTGCTGTAGGTGCTATTACAGTAGACCTACACCTGATGCAGACTAAGTGATTGGAGTGGACATTAGTGGTCAGTCTTCTCTGGACTGGACCAAAGCAGTCAGTCTCCCTGTCACCATAACCACACTTAATAAACAAATACCATGTAGTCGACGTAGGTGCTCATCCACTTGGCAGTTGTGGCATTGTAGGTTCCCGCGAGTACACTTGTGTAAACCTAAATATTAAAGAGTCCACTGACAGCCTTTAAATCACTCTACACAACAACTTTCTTTATGTTGTAAACATATGGACAGGACCTCACCATGAAGTTTTAATATAGTTGTTTCAACAATATTGCCATGTAAGGACTTCTAATCACAAGAGTCCTGTATCCACACCATTTACAGAGCTGTTGTGGATAAAGTCACTAGCCTCCATCACATCAAAACACTCCAGGTTTATGGCTTAACTCACCCACACTGTGGCCTCTAACAGCCATTTATCAGACCACATCACACATACAGCAGTCATCTCTCGGAACTTACCACATCACCCACACAGCGGCCTCAAGAGACTACCTTACTGAACTGACCACATAACCCAAACAATGGCCTGTAGTGGCCATCTCTCCATACATTCCACATACTGGTGGTACGTTATAAAGCACTCATGATCCTGAAAATTCAAAACTTATCATTAATTATAAATGAACTGAAATGTAATGATTTTTCTTCGTGCAAACACAGCAAGGTGATGACTGAAAAAGAAATATACAACCTCCTGGAACATTCATTGGTGGATGACAGAGAGGCAGGACAGAATTATGGGTAGGAAAACAACCAATCCATGCAAAGCTAGAGAAATGAGGCAAACAAAAATAAAGAGATTTTCTGAGAATAAATTTGCCCTTCATTAGACTCCAAACTATAAAGTATTTTTAGTTTGTGTTATTCAGAATTGCTATAGAAATCACTGTGCAAGAGAGTAAGCAGTAGGGTTACTGAACCAAATAACTGCAGATCACATGCTAATTTGTGTACATTATTACATTGCCCACCTTTGGAAGAATCTTAATATTTGACACTTACCAAGACATTCAATATCATTTTCTAGCCCAAGCGGAGGGAAAATGTAGAATTTTTAAAAGTCTTGTGAAGAGATATTTCCCAAAGACCAGTTCAGTTAGACGTTATAAATATTCCCTGCTATAACGCTTAATAATTACTCAGGTAATTTGGGGCGCTTTTCCTTCTAAAAACCTTTCTTTGTTGATGAGCTTAAGTCTACTGTCTTGTTCAAAAACACATGGTTTATCAGCTTACCATTATATCATGAATTATTAAAAAATTTCAAAAAACCTTAAACTGAGAAAAAAAACAAAATTATTTCCTGGTCCAAATTTGCACACAGAAAAATTTTAAACTCAATTATGAACAGGTATTTTTATGCAATCAACAGAAATCTGCTCACCTGAATGGAGTGTATACCAGGGGAACCCTAGGGGTTCCGACGTTCGGGGTCTCAATAACACAAAAGCAACAGCTCACACTTCTAACGAAGAAAACTGTAAGGACAGGAATCATGCCACAACAATCACAGAATTCAAACTAATTGAACTAAAAAACGAAAAAAGTGGAAAAAATAAATAAAAATAAACACAAACACATACTTATTGGGAAAGCATGCTAAACTTGACACTTGTTGGGGATGGTTTTAAAAGGTACAACTTTTGTTATATAGTAAAAACGGATGACTTTTTAGTCATGTTTGTTTTTATGTTAACACTACCGCAAAGTCAGTAGTCTGTGAGTGCATATTACCCTTTTAGTACACTAATGTACAATAATTCATGGCTATTATTAAATATTGTATTCCTGTTTCTATTTTCATTTTGGACTTTTAAAATAAGCCCTATTTGCTTGTTTTTATTTAAAATGAATACAAGGTGCTTAAGAGATATAATATCATGCATAATATGATAAAAATGACAGTGAAAAATATGTCTGAAAGAACTGTGATCAGTCAACATATATCTGGTGAAGTTGATGGACAATAGAAAATTAAGCAAAACAATTTATATCAATAGTGAAATCTATATAAATATGTGGAAAAATAAAATGATTTCTACAGTGTGATATTGTCAGTGTAAACTGTTAGTGTGTTAAAGGTTTACATAGCTATCACCACTGCTGAGAAAGTATATAATCTTATAACAGTTCCATAACCACAGATCCTTTACATTACCATGAGTGAATCTATAATACAATTTGATCAGATACATATCTGAGACTATTCTAAAGTTTTTATCATTTATTTCTGACAATGTTTACATAACCATTTCAGATGTTTATTTATGTTGATGAATTACTTCATCATGAATTTTCTTTCCCTAGAAAATGCATGACTATGTAATTCATGGTTCAATATTTTCATACTTAAATTGATAGTTCAATTATATTTTTAATTTTTACCATAAGTTGAAACAACTTATGTATATATAAAACTTATGTGATTCCTTTTAAAACAGCTAACAGTCAATATCAACTTTGAAAAAAAAAACCTGTTCTATTTAGGAAACAGACCTATAAGTGGAAATGTGCCCAAAACACAAGCTTCATCCAACTTTAATACAGCCGAGTACTATACCTGATGCATGAACATAAAACTAGATGCAATTTGCAGCGCAAAAATTTTGAAATCAAAATCAACCATAGAAATCATTATAAAAAGCTAAAAATATAATTATATAAAAATAATACAGTATAACACCCTGATATAGATCTGACCAAATAAATGAAAAATAAAACAGCTTTGCTGGCGAATGACTTCCACCACCATCTCTGATTTCCTTGCCATTGGCTAGCATAGCTGTTGTAAAGTGAGTAGGTAGTGCTTGGCTTATGAGCAGAATCAGGTACCATAGATCTATACATCCCCAAGTAACTACTCGTCCATTTTTCCAGTTCTATATGTTTGAGAGCAAGAGGGCGGGCAATCACATCCACATATTCCTGTAAGGTTGTATACAAGCACATGTCTTTACACACCATTCCAGCATGTTACTATAGTTACAGTAAACGTGGGATATATACAAAAACCTACATTAAAACAGAGTACAGTACTTACATATAAATAATGTACCAAATTAGATCATTCTTAAAATATATAATACTTGTTTTGATTAACCTAACATAAGCTTAGCCACTTTGCTGCCTCATTACATGTAAATGTCAAATAGTATTATACTCATTGTTATTTTATGAAAAGTGAAAACCTAAATATATACAAATTTAACTAAAATATTTGAACCCATCTTTTTCATCTTTTCTATTAAAAAAAAAAATAGCATCCTTGTCAGTATTATTATAAAATCAACAGGAACACAGCAAGCTGATGCGCACATTGCATATACATGTTTATATCAACACAAACAAGCAGAAGGGACCTGTTCACAGGGGCAGGAGAGCACACATAAAGGGAGGTAAGTCAAGATATTTTATTCACACTGCTAGGGTGGTCATTTTGTATATAGACGGTATGATTAGACACTGAATTCTATGCAGGTTTTTGATAACTGATCAACCACACTACCCAGTATACAGGAATGGTTTGAATTCTATCAAATTTAGGCTGACCAGCTTTCACCAAATTCACTACCATATCCAATATTATGAAGAATAAGATACTTGCAGTACTAAGTCAACATTAAATAACATCTATCTAACAGGTTAACACTGAATATGGCAAAGGTAAAGATGATAAGATAATTACTGTCCTGACTGTGACTTAAATGATTTTACTACTGACAGAATCAGCCTTCAATGGGCCTAAAGTTTCCTGTCTCTACTGATGTACATTCCTGTCTCTACTGATATACATTCCTATCTCTACTGATATACATTCCTGTCTCTACTGATGTACATTCCTGTCTCTACTGATATACATTCCTGTCTCTACTGATATACATTCCTGTCTCTACTGATATACATTCCTATCTCTACTGATGTATATTCCTGTCTCTACTGATGTACATTCCTGTCTCTACTGATATACATTCCTATCTCTACTGATATACATTCCTATCTCTACTGATATACATTCCTATCTCTACTGATATACATTCCTATCTCTACTGATGTACATTCCTATCTCTACTGATGTACATTCCTATCTCTATTGATATACATTCCTGTCTCTACTGATGTACATTCCTGTCTCTACTGATGTACATTCCTATCTCTACTGATATACATTCCTATCTCTACTGATATACATTCCTATCTCTATTGATGTACATTCCTATCTCTACTGATGTACATTCCTGTCTCTACTGATATACATTCCTATCTCTATTGATATACATTCCTATCTCTATTGATATACATTCCTATCTCTACTGATATACATTCCTGTCTCTACTGATGTACATTCCTATCTCTACTGATGTACATTACTGTCTCTACTGATGTACATTCCTATCTCTATTGATGTACATTCCTATCTCTACTGATGTACATTCCTATCTCTATTGATGTACATTCCTATCTCTATTGATGTACATTCCTATCTCTACTGATGTACATTCCTATCTCTATTGATATACATTCCTATCTCTATTGATATACATTCCTATCTCTACTGATGTACATTCCTATCTCTACTGATGTACATTCCTATCTCTATTGATGTACATTCCTATCTCTACTGATGTACATTCCTATCTCTACTGATGTACATTCCTATCTCTACTGATGTACATTCCTATCTCTATTGATATACATTCCTATCTCTATTGATGTACATTCCTATCTCTACTGATATACATTCCTGTCTCTACTGATGTACATTCCTATCTCTACTGATGTACATTCCTATCTCTACTGATGTACATTCCTATCTCTATTGATATACATTCCTATCTCTACTGATGTACATTCCTATCTCTACTGATATACATTCCTATCTCTACTGATGTACATTCCTATCTCTACTGATGTACATTCCTATCTCTATTGATATACATTCCTATCTCTACTGATGTACATTCCTATCTCTACTGATGTACATTCCTATTCTTGATATACATTCCTATCTCTATTGATGTACATTCCTATCTCTACTGATGTACATTCCTATCTCTATTGATGTACATTCCTATCTCTACTGATGTACATTCCTATCTCTACTGATGTACATTCCTATCATCTCTGATCTACTTTTTATGTTCATTATTTATCATTGATTACAGTATAATAAATAATTAGATGCCTATCACATACCATCATATAGGGGTATAATTACTTATATTGCATCATACATAGCAGGCATGATTTTATATATACAACAAACAGGGGTGACAAAATGTATTATGTCAAATATTCAATAAATATTGTCTATCATCTGTAAAACTGGCATAATTTATATATAAGTATGGATAGAATAAAACAATTTATCAAAAATTCCATTTAATAAAGCAACAATCGACAATTAAAATTTCATTACAACAAAGTCATAACTGACAAATTATCTACAGAATGATAGTTATACCACCACATCTGTATGTTATCAACAGAAGTGAATTGAAACTATCAATTTCTTCTTATATTGCAGAGTTTTTATTTCATTCATGTGTAGTGATGAAAACTAATCCACTTTGTTATATATGTAAATGGCGAAGATTATATAACAAACAGGTAATAAAAGATCGTTAATGTAGAATTAAGGAATATCTGATAACGAAAATCAGGTGTGATTTATCCTCGTTAACCTACCTGTACTTTAGCTCGGATGGCTCCCATGGCTGGAATCTCTGAGAAACGACCTGCAATTTTATAATGAACAGTGATAATATACAATGGCATCAACAATTAAAGGATGATAATATCAATAGAATAAAAACTTCATATTATTGTAGATTTTTAAATAGAGTTATCTCCCTTCCCAACAACTAAACCAGACTGCCTAAAATTGAGGGTCTACTTTATAAGTAATTTTAGTCTATCTACATATCAAGTGAGAAAATTATAAAGTACTTGTATGTTGAGACACTTATATTCATTTCTATTTGACATGGAATTTACAAGACAGGCCATTATTTCGTTAAATGATGAAATCATGACATTAAGGTCATAAATACCTATAAATTTAAAACACATGTAAAATTCTATTTCTCCCAGAACCAAGAGTTACTTTTGCAAAAATCTTTTCATTGTCAAACTAACAGTCCTCTACAGCTAGTTACTACTGCATGCAGTGTTACTGAACAATTCAGGCACAAACCTCGGTTAGCACATGACATCCACTTGATGTCTTTTACGGAGTTGGCAGTTTGTCCAACAGCATAAGTGAAAACTCGAATCTAAAACAAAACATTACACATAGTATGTAAATTTTGATTATTGTAAAACCTCAGTAGGACACAAATCAAGTTTGAATTTTCCCCAAACAAAATGTCACAACAAGAAATAGATCAAGCTTGATTTCTGATAACCTTACCAAAAATCAACAATACAGCCACGGTCCCACTGATAACCCCACCAAAAATCAACAATACAGCCATGGTCCCAACTGATAACATAACAAGTATTGACAATACAGCCACGGTCCCACTGATAACCCCACCAAAAATCAACAATACAGTCACAATCCCACTGATAACCCCACCAAAAATCAACAATACCATCATGGTCCCAACTGATAACCCAACAAATATTGACAATACAGTCATGGTCCCAACTGATAACCCAACAAATATTGACAATACAGTCATGGTCCCACTGATAACCCAACAAATATTGACAATACAGTCATGGTCCCACTGATAACCCAACAAATACTGACAATACAGTCATGGTCCCAACTGATAACCCAACAAATATTGACAATACAGTCATGGTCCCACTGATAACCCAACAAATATTGACAATACAGTCATGGTCCCAACTGATAACCCAACAAATATTGACAATACAGTCATGGTCCCAACTGATAACCCAACAAGTATTGACAATACAGTCATGGTCCCAACTGATAACCCAACAAATATTGACAATACAGTCATGGTCCCAACTGATAACCCAACAAATATTGACAATACAGTCATGGTCCCAACTGATAACCCAACAAATACTGACAATACAGTCATGGTCCCAACTGATAACCCAACAAATATTGACAATACAGTCATGGTCCCACTGATAACCCAACAAATATTGACAATACAGTCATGGTCCCAACTGATAACCCAACAAATACTGACAATACAGTCATGGTCCCACTGATAACCCAACAAGTATTGACAATAAAGTCATGGTCCCAACTGATAACCCAACAAATATTGACAATACAGTCATGGTCCCAACTGATAACCCAACAAGTATTGACAATACAGTCATGGTCCCACAGATAACCCAACAAATACTGACAATACAGTCATGGTCCCAACTGATAACCCAACAAATACTGACAATACAGTCATGGTCCCAACTGATAACCCAACAAATACTGACAATACAGTCATGGTCCCAACTGATAACCCAACAAATACTGACAATACAGTCATGGTCCCAACTGATAACCCAACAAATATTGACAATACAGTCATGGTCCCACTGATAACCCAACAAATACTGACAATACAGTCATGGTCCCAACTGATAACCCAACAAATACTGACAATACAGTCATGGTCCCAACTGATAACCCAACAAATACTGACAATACAGTCATGGTCCCAACTGATAACCCAACAAATACTGACAATACAGTCATGGTCCCAACTGATAACCCAACAAATACTGACAATACAGTCATGGTCCCAACTGATAACCCAACAAATATTGACAATACAGTCATGGTCCCACTGATAACCCAACAAATACTGACAATACAGTCATGGTCCCAACTGATAACCCAACAAATACTGACAATACAGTCATGGTCCCAACTGATAACCCAACAAATACTGACAATACAGTCATGGTCCCAACTGATAACCCAACAAATACTGACAATACAGTCATGGTCCCAACTGATAACCCAACAAGTATTGACAATACAGTCATGGTCCCAACTGATAACCCAACAAATACTGACAATACAGTCATGGTCCCAACTGATAACCCAACAAGTATTGACAATACAGTCATGGTCCCAACTGATAACCCAACAAGTATTGACAATACAGTCATTGTCCCAACTGATAACCCAACAAGTATTGACAATAAAGTCATGGTCCCAACTGATAACCCAACAAGTATTGACAATACAGTCATTGTCCCAACTGATAACCCAACAAGTATTGACAATATAGCCATGGTCCTACAGATAACCCAACAAATATTGACAATACAGTCATGATAACCCAACAAATACTACAGATAACTGATAACAAATACTGACAATACAGTCATGGTCCCACTGATAACCCAACAAATACTGACAATACAGTCATGGTCCCAACTGATAACCCAACAAATATTGACAATACAGTCATGGTTCCACTGATAACCCAACAAATACTGACAATACAGTCATGGTCCCACTGATAACCCAACAAATATTGACAATACAGTCATGGTCCCACTGATAACCCAACAAATATTGACCAACAAATATTGACAATACAGTCATGGTCCCAACTGATAACCCAACAAATATTGACAATACAGTCATGGTCCCAACTGATAACCCAACAAGTATTGACAATACAGTCATGGTCCCAACTGATAACCCAACAAATATTGACAATACAGTCATGGTCCCACTGATAACCCAACAAATATTGACAATACAGTCATGGTCCCAACTGATAACCCAACAAGTATTGACAATACAGTCATGGTCCCACTGATAACCCAACAAATATTGACAATACAGTCATGGTCCCACTGATAACCCAACAAATATTGACAATACAGTCATGGTCCCAACTGATAACCCAACAAATATTGACAATACAGTCATGGTCCCAACTGATAACCCAACAAATATTGACAATACAGTCATGGTCCCAACTGATAACACAACTAGTATTGACAATAAAGTCATGGTCCCAAATGATAACCCAACAAATACTGACAATACAGTCATGGTCCCACTGATAACCCAACAAATATTGACAATACAGTCATGGTCCCAACTGATAACCCAACAAATATTGACAATACAGTCATGGTCCCAACTGATAACCCAACAAATATTGACAATACAGTCATGGTCCCAACTGATAACCCAACAAATATTGACAATACAGTCATGGTCCCAACTGATAACCCAACAAGTATTGACAATACAGTCATGGTCCCACAGATAACCCAACAAATACTGACAATACAGTCATGGTCCCAACTGATAACCCAACAAGTATTGACAATACAGTCATGGTCCCACTGATAACACAACAATTACTGACAATTCATTCAATAATTGACAGCTCTCAAAACTACATGGACACAGATGATGTGACTTTATTTCCAGACAGTATATACACTGATGATGTGACTTTAGTACCAGACAGTATATACACAGATGATGTGACTTTAGTTCCAGACAATATATACACTGATGATGTGACTTTAGTTCCAGACAGTATATACACTGATGATGTGACTTTAGTTCCAGACAGTATATACACTGATGATGTGACTTTAGTTCCAGTATATACACTGATGATGTGACTTTAGCTCCAGACAGTATATACACAGATGATGTGACTTTAGTTCCAGACAATATATACACTGATGATGTGACTTTAGTTCCAGACAATATATACACTGATGATGTGACTTTAGTTCCATACAATATATACACAGATGATGTGACTTTAGCTCCAGACAGTATATACACAGATGATGTGACTTTAGCTCCAGACAATATATACACTGATGATGTGACTTTAGTACCAGACAGTATATACACAGATGATGTGACTTTAGTTCCAGACAGTATATACACTGATGATGTGACTTTAGTTCCAGACAGTATATACACTGATGATGTGACTTTAGTTCCATACAATATATACACTGATGATGTGACTTTAGTTCCAGACAATATATACACTGATGATGTGACTTTAGTTCCAGACAGTATATACACTGATGATGTGACTTTAGCTCCAGACAGTATATACACTGATGATGTGACTTTAGTTCCAGACAATATATACACAGATGATGTGACTTTAGTTCCAGACAGTATATACACTGATGATGTGACTTTAGCTCCAGACAGTATATACACAGATGATGTGACTTTAGCTCCAGACAGTATATACACAGATGATGTGACTTTAGCTCCAGACAATATATACACTGATGATGTGACTTTAGCTCCAAACAGTATATACACAGATGATGTGACTTTAGTTCCAGACAGTATATACACAGATTATGTGACTTTAGTTCCAGACAATATATACACTGATCATGTGACAGATACTTACCATGCGATCGCGACCCCAGTTACGCTCCTTGAACACTTCCTCGGCCATATCTGTGCCTCCATCAGTCAACAACATAATCATCTTGTTGCAGTCTGCACCCTCTCCTGCTGAAGATCTGTTTCTGTCTTGAAATTTTGCCTCGAACTGTCAAACAATTAATGTAAAATTAAAAACAGGCAAAAAAGGTAAGTTTTACCTACAACCATCAAACGACTGAGGTCAAAATCAACCAGACATCATGAAGTTATTGCAGATGATACAAATACCCTCGCAATATCCCAAAGTTATACAAAATGCTAGTGTCAAGAGTGATTTGGCCTGTTTTTATAAGCCAGTCCGTCAATGAGATAAGTACAGTGTATGATTAATTAGAATGTTGAAAGCAGGAGTAAAATTGACTTCTAAAGTCTATCAGTCTCTATCTATAGTAATGTTTATTTATAGCAATGATTAAACTAGTTTTTGATGGTCATACAAGAGATTATGGTTGTGAACAAATGTTTGAAGCTTCTTGGCAATCAGAAATACAGCCTGTAAAGCAGTAACATATAAAATTCTGTCAATTTCTATTAATAACAGTGGTAACCTAGTTTTGATAGCAGAAGGCTGAAACGTTTACTCACACAAGAGGGGGTTGTGTATGAACATGTGTATGAAATATTACAATCACAATAAATGCAGCCTGTACAACAGTGATGTTTTTGGAACAAAAAAACAAAAATTCAAGTTAAAATTGATTTAATGCTCTATTTTTAAAATGTCAAAAAAACAATTTTTGACTGAAATTCAAATATGATTTTTAAATAAACTGTTTTATGAGATAATGATCCCAGCCCTTTCAAGGCCAATATTTTTTAATAGAAGGTCAAGCAGACACTCTATTTACAGTTAATGTTTGAGAGATCATGAAAGCCAAGAATTCTATCAGACCAGCAGCTCCCTACATCCATTGCCTGCATTCCTGTATTAGATGTGAGATCTTCAAGTTCTACCATGAACATTGTTTTCTTAAACCCCGTTTCCCGAGCTTCGTCAGAATGAATCTTAATTAGAGGGTGTTAATTATTGATTAAGGCCTGTAAACTGACATCATTTTATTATAGAAGTAGTAGGGTGATAATGTGCTAATCCTGTAGTTAATTACACAATTCCTAACTAACAACACTCCAATTCAAGATTACTGCCAGTTGCTGGCACGATTCCAGCACCCATTAATTACAGGTTTTCTTGTCATTTTTCACCACAATTTGGGCTTTGAACAAGTTACCACTGACATTTTGTGCTGTTGGCTCAGTATGGAGGTCTTGTCCCCCATGGATTTATACAGGCTTGGTAATAAAATTATCTAAGTACATTTGTGGGTTCACAGGTGTATGGTTAGGTGTCCAGAAAATTTTCAAACATTCTGGTTCAGTAGAATGCACTGAAAAACTGAGAATGACAATTGGTGTGAATTATAATAAAAATAAGTCTGGTCTGGAGGCACAGTGGTAACACACTCGCCTTTCATCTAGATATCCAGTGTTTGATTCCCTGGATGGATGTGAAAAGGTATGGGGGTCCCCTGCCAAACCATTGGGTTTGCCCTGGGTACTCTGCTACCTTCCCACAGTAAAAGCCCTTACATGCTTCAATCCATGTCAACAAGAGTGATTATTGTAAGTATACAAGACTTTTACTTTAACAAGTAGAAGGCCTGTCTTGTTACAAGTAGAACTTTTAATCAGAACAAATAACAATTATATCACAAATAACTGTCTATGAAGTCACCTGCACATAGCAAATACCTGTCTATAAAGATCATGTGAACCTGTCTATAACAAATATTTTTGTCAACAAATGTCACCTGTATGTTCCAAATACCTGTCTATAAAGGTCACATGTATGTCCCAAATACCTGTCTATAAAGGTCATCTGTCTGTAACAAATATTTGTCAATAAAGGTCATCTGTCTGTAACAAATATTTGTCAATAAAGATCACCTGTATGTCCTAAATACCTGTCTATAAAGGTCACCAGTATATCATAATTACCTGTCTATAAAGGTTACCAGTATGTTCCAAAATAGCTGTCTATAAAGGTTACCAGTATGTCCCAAATACCTGTCTATAAAGGTCACCAGTATGTTCCAAATACCTGACTATAAAGGTCACCAGTATATCATAATTATCTGTCTATAAAGACCAGCTCTACATAACCAATACTTATCTATAGAGGAATTTCGCTAATGTTCAACAACAATGCCCTACTGACAAATAGAAGTCTTGTAACATTACATTATCAGGAATGATAACAATCACTGTTTACAGGCAGATTAATGGACAGTATCTCATGGTATTAATTCACCATCAATATATTAGGTAAATTGTTCTTACCTTTTCAAACTGTTCAAATGCAAAGTTGAGGCCAACTTTGAAATTGGCCATGCCCTTGGCTGTTAAATTATCAACTGCTTTTCCCAAGAGCTATAAGAAAGAAAAATTGCAGAATATTATACCAAAACACCATGCTAACATCCCTCCATCCACCCTGATAGAGTAAATGCTAACATCCCTCCATCAACCCAGATAGAGTTAAAGCTAATACCCCTCTATGTACCCTGATAGAGTTAATGCTAAAACCCCTCCATCAGCCCAGATAGAGTTAAAGCTAATACCCCTCTATGTACCCAGATAGAGTTCAGACTAATACCTCTCTATGTACCCTGATAGAGTTAATGCTAAAACCCCTCCATCAGCCCAGACAGAGTTCGGCTAATACCCCTCCATCAACCCAGATAGAGTTCAAGCTAATACCCCTCCATCAGCCCAGACAGAATCAACCCAGATAGAGTTAATGCTAAAACCCCTCTATGTACCCTGATAGAGTTAATGCTAAAACCCCTCCATCAACCCAGATAGAGTTAATGCTAAAACCCCTCTATGTACCCTGATAGAGTTAATGCTAAAACCCCTCCATCAACCCAGATAGAGTTAATGCTAAAACCCCTCTATGTACCCTGATAGAGTTAATGCTAAAACCCCTCCATCAACCCAGATAGAGTTAATGCTAAAACCCCTCTATGTACCCTGATAGAGTTAATGCTAAAACCCCTCTATGTACCCTGATAGAGTTAATGCTAAAACCCCTCTATGTACCCTGATAGAGTTAATGCTAAAACCCCTCTATGTACCCTGATAGAGTTAATGCTAAAACCCCTCCATCAGCCCAGATAGAGTTAATGCTAATACCCCTCTATGTACCCTGATAATGTTCAGGCTAAAATCCCTCCATCAGCCCAGATAGAGTTAATGCTAATACCCCTCTATGTACCCTGATAATGTTCAGGCTAAAATCCCTCCATCTACCCAGATAGACTTCATGCTAATACCCCTCTATCACTTAAACGTCACCAACTCCAACTTAGACATCAACTATCCCCCTAACTACTCCTTTACAGCAGCATATGATAAAATCCCTCCAGATCATTTCTTTCCCCAGCCATAGCAAATGATATTTATCTTATCTTTATCTTCAGACTTCATCCTGTGGATTTTTTTTTTAGATTCAGCATGGTTTAACAATCTCTTCCCAAGGCAGTTCAATATGTTTTTCAGGAGTCTGAGAAAATGGACTGTCCTATGCTATAGTGGTTGAGACCTTGGGTAAAACACTGCTCTGGATGGTATGTGGTGTGCCTCCAGTATGTTGTTCTGTCAGGAAGACACCAGCTACCATATAGAGACCCTGACTCTAAAAGACCCTGGCAGTTGACATGTACATATAAACTCAGCAAACACAAAAAGATTTTAAGATTTATCAGGATGGCGACAAGCAAGTTCTACAGAAGTCAATTAAACTGCCTTTAACCCCTATCTCCATACAATCAAGTGTAAAAACCTGTATCATTAAATTCATGAAGACAAATTAATTCTTAGTTAGAGACGCACCTTCTTGTTCCTATAATTAGCTTGAACAAATGTTTTAAAACAGCTCACATAGTCAGCTTCAGTTGAGAACTGCAAAAGACAATTTAGTAAATCTTCAACATTTATCAAATGTGTAAATATATCTACATACATATACTGCTCAAAGATTCATTTCGTCCTAAAGTTGTCAAACTACATTTTGCAAAGTGATTTTTTCACATTGTAGAAATAAGGTAAGGAAACCCCTATTGTAAGCAATCAATTCAGATCCCACTTCATAGAGATTGCAGTAAAGTTTACAGTTCCTACTTTCAGAAAAAATGTTTACACAGATGTTGATTAGCTAGCAAGGCTATAAAGATCAAACAAATCCTTACTGATATCAAGTATGTAATGTTCTAATTACATTTAATTACTTACTTAATTAAGCTAACTGGTATCCAATTTGCTATGAGCACTCTATAGGTACAACTATCTTTATCCCAATTAAAACTCTCTTAAAATATCATCAGAACTCTTAAAGAAAGTTTCAATATCACAGAACAAACAGTGCCACTTCAGAAATCTTTATACTACAAGAAAACGTATTCAATTTAACAAACTAGAACATATGATGACAAACCATAATGATCTGAACAAAGTCGTTCTCGCCGAGCGTATCCAGGATGGACTTCACTGCGACCTTGACCAGCTGTAGGGTTTTACCATGTACACTTCCACTCCTGAAACAAACATCAATTATAGACACCCATCTCAGGTGACCAGTTAAACCACAACAACATATGGTAATTTAATAATAAATGGGGACTTCACTTCTAAATATCAATATAAACCATTCCTATGTTGTTTTGCACTGACCAAGAAATAAATTTTAATACAGGATTTCAAGAAGTTTTAAGTTACAATTTTAATAAAAAGACTTAAACTGCATTTTCTGATGATGACAGGACCAGGAATAAATTATTTGATGACCGTGAAATCAGTTGCTTCATGAATTCAGGAGAAATGAAATGCCTGATGACATCAGAGGATAGGAGATAAGATACTTGATGACATCAGAGGATAGGAGATAAGATACTTGATGACATCAGAGGATAGGAGATAAGATACTTGATGACATCAGAGGATAGGAGATAAGATACTTGATGACATCAGAGGATAGGAGATAAGATACTTGATGACATCAGAGGATAGGAGATAAGATACTTGATGACATCAGAGGATAGGAGATAAGATACTTGATGACATCAGAGGATATGAGATAAGATACTTGATGACATCAGAGGATAGGAGATAAGATACTTGATGACATCAGAGGATATGAGATAAGATACTTGATGACATCAGAGGATAGGAGATAAGATACTTGATGACATCAGAGGATATGAGATAAGATACTTGATGACATCAGAGGATAGGAGATAAGATACTTGATGACATCAGAGGATAGGAGATAAGATACTTGATGACATCAGAGGATAGGAGATAAGATACTTGATGACATCAGAGGATAGGAGATAAGATACTTGATGACATCAGAGGAGCGGAGATAAGATACTTGATGACATCAGAGGATAGGAGATAAGATACTTGATGACATCAGAGGATAGGAGATAAGATACTTGATGACATCAGAGGATAGGAGATAAGATACTTGATGACATCAGAGGATATGAGATAAGATACTTGATGACATCAGAGGATATGAGATAAGATACTTGATGACATCAGAGGATATGAGATAAGATACTTGATGACATCAGAGGATATGAGATAAGATACTTGATGACATCAGAGGATATGAGATAAGATACTTGATGACATCACAGGATATGAGATAAGATACTTGATGACATCACAGGATATGAGATAAGATACTTGATGACATCAGAGGATATGAGATAAGATACTTGATGACATCAGAGGATATGAGATAAGATACTTGATGACATCAGAGGATAGGAGATAAGATACTTGATGACATCAGAGGATATGAGATCAGAGGAAAGATACTTGATGACATCAGAGGATATGAGATAAGATACTTGATGACATCAGAGGATATGAGATAAGATACTTGATGACATCAGAGGATATGAGATAAGATACTTGATGACATCAGAGGATATGAGATAAGATACTTGATGACATCAGAGGATAGGAGATAAGATACTTGATGACATCAGAGGATAGGAGATAAGATACTTGATGACATCAGAGGATATGAGATAAGATACTTGATGACATCAGAGGATATGAGATAATATACTTGATGACATTAGGATAAGATGACATCAGAGGATAGGAGATAAGATACTTGATGACATCAGAGGATATGAGATAAGATACTTGATGACATCAGAGGATATGAGATAAGATACTTGATGACATCAGAGGATAGGAGATAAGATACTTGATGACATCAGAGGATAGGAGATAAGATACTTGATGACATCAGAGGATATGAGATAAGATACTTGATGACATCAGAGGATATGAGATAAGATACTTGATGACATCAGAGGATAGAGAGATACTTGATGACATCAGAGGATAGGAGATAAGATACTTGATGACATCAGAGGATAGGAGATAAGATACTTGATGACATCAGAGGATAGGAGATAAGATACTTGATGACATCAGAGGATAGGAGATAAGATACTTGATGACATCAGAGGATAGGAGATAAGATACTTGATGACATCAGAGGATATGAGATAAGATACTTGATGACATCAGAGGATAGGAGATAAGATACTTGATGACATCAGAGGATATGAGATAAGATACTTGATGACATCAGAGGATAGGAGATAAGATACTTGATGACATCAGAGGATAGGAGATAAGATACTTGATGACATCAGAGGATATGAGATAAGATACTTGATGACATCAGAGGATAGGAGATAAGATACTTGATGACATCAGAGGATAGGAGATAAGATACTTGATGACATCAGAAGACTTGAAATTAGTTGTTTGATGATGTCGGGCAAACTTTACTACAATGCACCATCTCATGTGTTTAAAATGTTTCACTATATAACAATGGGTTTGTGAGAGTACCAACCTGTCAATGAGGATAAGCATGTCCTTTGGAGAACTAGAGCCCTGTGTATACCTGTAGACACAATGTAATGGATTACACACACATAAAACTTTTAATTTCCCTGTGGAGCCATATCACTACCATACCAGTTGACGTGTAAATTTTTTAACATATGGAGTTAATTTCTTTTATCTCAAGCCCTTATATCTTAACCTCTCACTGTAACTAATCTTTAAAGATCCTCAATAAACCTGACAAAACTTCAGTCTTTTAAATTAAATCTGCCCAATATAATACATCTTTAAACCCACATTATAATAATTTCTTTATTTTTATCTTCATCAAGGTGACAGTTTAGTATAGACCTTGAAGATATCTTTATCTCCTACATACCAAGGTCTTCGTCTGACATCATACAAGTCTACTTCATCATCAGGAGTACTCCACAAACTCCCTGGAATACATCAAGTAAATCACTTTACATCTGTAATCAATAGCTTCCTATAACCACAACCAAACTGTAAACTCCCATAAACTGTTCCCTCACACCCCTCTCAACCTTCAACCATTCACTTTATTATCTCATCATAATATCTTATCACTCTCTACGACCTCTATCTCTCACCTTCAATCACTATCTATCACATCTTACCCCAATTGTCAACTTTTCCCAATAACTATACTCCCCAAACCTTTCAACTTTCAATCCTTCCCTATAACCTCTGATCTCCAAATTCAACCACTCCCCATGATCTCTAACCTACGTTCAATCATTCCCAACAATCTCTAACTTTCAACATTATTAATGTCCTTTACCTTCCCTATAACCTCTAACTTCAATCAATCCCAACAACCTGTAATCCCCAGTTCAAAGCATTGCCTATAACCTCTTGCCCAAACCTTCAATAGCCTCCTTTAACCTCTAACCTTCAACTTCAATCATTTTCTATAACCACTAAGCCTACTTGCAATCATTTCCTATAACATCTAACCCTTATCTTCAGTCACTCCCAATAACTCCTCATCCCAATCTTCAATTGCTCTATGACCTTTAACCTCTAAACTCCATCCTTGAATGACTCACTAGAACCTCTGATTCCCACTTTTCTTTTTAACCTTTAATCTCTACATAGATTAACTTTTGATCACAGCATACATATGCCTATTACTATACCCTTTAAGAACTCCTCACAGACCTATCTAAATATATTCTTCCTAAGCTTGTATCCCCTGTTTCAGCTTTCAGAATTCCAAACATATCCCGAGAGTCACACTGTATGAACTCATCCAGCTTTCATTGTACCATCTAAATTTGTGTGAAGTACAAAAAAAACTACTAAAAGTTCATATATTTATCTTTGCCAGACCCAAAAGCATTGATCTAGTATTATGGAGCTGTTAAAAAGTCTAAATAATGCATGTCTTTTATGTTTGGGCCACTCAGACAGGATTTTGTCTTTATATATATGTGTACAGGGTACAGGCCACAGCCATTTTCTACTCATACATCTTAAAGTCGGTGAATTATTCAGTACCCTTTTATCCTTAAGAATGCCAGTAAAGGCAGCAATGACAGTAACACTCCTTATAAAAACACCAGAATTCTTATTTATTAAGAGCCAGCAGACAATTGATATCATTGTGTTAGGTTAAGGGCAGCCATAGGAGACCTACAGGGTTAATTAACAACATTCCGTTAAAAAACTATTTATATTTGTGAAGCATTTAATACCTGGGAAAGTTCTCATAAAGCCAGTCTGACTGCCAAAGTACTGCCACAAGATGTCATCATCACGCTGATAATTCTCCTCAAATACCGTGTCCAGCTGGTCTGACCACATCAAACCATTAAGGATATGGATGTCTAATAAAATATTTAGTTATTAATATTAATACTGGTATTGTATGATCATAAAGCAAAAATTTTACATTTCTTACAATTCACCTAAAATTCATGAACAATCATTTTTACAAGAGTTGCAACTGAAAAAATCTCTTGCCCTTGTCTTAGATGTGTGCAAAGTTCTTTATTAACAAATATTGTTCACAAACGAAAATCCTGAAATTTACATAAAAATTAGAAAATATCTGTATGACATAAATACCCCTGTCCCCAAGTGAAATTAGTTTTAGTGTTCTATAGAATAATTTCCAAAGTATACTCATAATGGATTCTTTTTTTTATAAAGTTTGACCAAATTCCATTGAATTTCATTCAATTGAATAAGTTGATTTTTTTTACATAGATCAAGGTAACAACGACGTCCAAAGTATACTCATAATGGATTATTTTTTTTTATAAAGTTTGACCAAATTCCATTGAATTTCAATCAATTGAATAAGTTGATTTTTTTCACATAGATCCAGGTGACAACGATGTCCAAAGTATACTTATAACGGATCATTTTTTTTTATAAAGATTTACCAAATTCCATTGAATTTCAATCAATTGAATAAGTTGATTTTTTTACATAGATCAAGGTGACAACGATGTCCAAAGTATACTTATAACGGATTATTTTTTTTTATAAAGATTTACCAAATTCCATTGAATTTCAATCAATTGAATAAGTTGATTCTTTTACATAGATCAAGGTGACAACGATGTCCAAAGTATACTCATAACGGATTTTTTTTTTTTATAAAGTTTGACCAAATTCCATTGAATTTCAATCAATTGAATAAGTTGATTTTTTTTACATAGATCAAGGTGACAACGATGTCCAAAGTATACTTATAACGGATCATTTTTTTTTATAAAGATTTACCAAATTCCATTGAATTTCAATCAATTGAATAAGTTGATTCTTTTACATAGATCAAGGTGACAACGATGTCCAAAGTATACTCATAACGGATTTTTTTTATAAAGTTTGACCAAATTCCATTGAATTTCAATCAATTGAATAAGTTGATTTTTTTTACATAGATCAAGGTGACAACGATGTCCAAAGTATACTCATAACGGATTTTTTTTTTTTATAAAGTTTGACCAAATTCCATTGAATTTCGATCAATTGAATAAGTTGATTTTTTTTACATAGATCAAGGTGACAACGATGTCCAAAGTATACTCATAACGGATTTTTTTTTTTTATAAAGTTTGACCAAATTCCATTGAATTTCAATCAATTGAATAAGTTGATTTTTTTTACATAGATCAAGGTGACAACGATGTCCAAAGTATACTCATAACGGATTTTTTTTTTTTATAAAGTTTGACCAAATTCCATTGAATTTCAATCAATTGAATAAGTTGATTTTTTTTACATAGATCAAGGTGACAACGATGTCCAAAGTATACTTATAACTGACCTTTGTATGAAGTTCAATCTAATTCTTACATCGATTCAGGACTGGACGTGATGTGATGCAACAAGACGGACATCAGCAACCACTATATGCCTGACACCCTCCCCACCCCAATTCATGACAGGGCATAACAGAAACACTAAAGGCAAAGGTGAACCTCAGAAAGATCTTGTTGGGAATTATCACCTACTAGATAAAGATGTTCTTACATTGACATGATGTAGTTGTATTTATAATAATTTAACATATAATGTGTTGTGTGAAAATTTCCTCAATTTACTATCTCAATCAGAAATAACAAGGAAACAGCACGATCTTGTGTGCTGTTTTGTTTGAGTGGTGAAACTGACCCCCTTCATATATCTCCACAGGTATGTGAACGCTAGAACGAGTGGCATTGATCTCCTGCTGAAACCTTTCACTGTACTCAAGGTGGTCCTGAAGCTGACCAGGCTCTTTAGAGTTCCAGTAATCCACGTTACCCAGCTACAGAACAAAAGTCATATCAAATGGGCCTGCATCATTCAATTAATAGTCAACATGCAATTCACAATACACTCCAGGCTATACAATATTAAATTTTGGTTAATCAAAAGAACCTATTTCTTGTTTTAAGAAATTTGGCTTCTGTAACCTTGATCATGAATTAAGGTCATTTCTTTTTTCAAACTTTGTTGAGCTTCATTCAAGCAGTCAAATGTCATGACCCTTCATGGAACGGTTCTTGAGAAGAAAATGTGTAGAGTAGGTTGACAGTATATGGATGGATAACTGACAGATAAATAGCTATCTGCCTACATCATGGCATAAGCTGACACTGCCCTTTGGGACAGGTGAGCTTGTAGCAGGACTTAATCCCAAGAATTATCATCATTTCTGAATTTTCTGTGTTGTTGTTTTGCAACAAATGCTCCCTGGTGATAAATATCACCATTCCCTTCAAGTGGAATAAAACTCATACCAAAACAAGCATAAGAGAACATGCAGACAATCTCAATATATCACGCCAGTTTCCTTTTCCTCTGAAACTGATTTGCAATAAACTTTTGAAATTTGATTTATATTTATATTTAATATCAATAAGAAATTTTTATTTGAAATAAAATTTCAATATTGTAGGTAAAAGTAGTTGAAATTTTTTTTGACTACTAATACATTCTCAGGCTAATACAAAGAAAAGGTGATTGGTTTTCACAAAATAATTCATGTGTTCATTGTTTTAGGAAGTAACCATTTATTTCAGCCAATCTACGACTTCTGTATTTAATGAAAGTATGGAGGTATTGATTTTAGACAGTTAAAAAATCACATTGATAGTTTAAAAGCAAATCCCTGCCAGTGAAAACAATTTAAGAGCATATATCTACAATACCAGTTTGACTACACTTTGAGACAAACCTTTAGGCTGGAGTCCCAGGTATGGTTAGCAGCAGCCTTCTCCGCTAGTACCACCGACCTCTGCAAAACATAAATTGTCCTTTTAATTATCTTAGTCGAAATTGTGAGTAAAGGGATGATTCAATATAACTACAGACCCAAGTAGATACAAATTCTTTATCCTTAATCCTATTTGTCATTTGACTCTACAAAAACAACCTAGTATACATCAGAGTTTTAGAAATATTGTTTCCTGACCAGGACATACAAAGATAAAGTGTTCAGTACCTTGAATTACTGTAAAATCATCCATTTTCATGGGAGATTTATTTTCGTTGACTTTATGGGTTCACTAAATCCATAGATCAATCTGTCCACAAACTCTTAGAATTACTACAGATTTATTGAACTTTATTTATTCACAAAACCAAATGTCCACTAAATAGCGTTATTTTGAAAAAAAGCATGTAAATTGCCCCCACGAAAATATGATATTTAACAGAAAAGGCTAATTATCTGAAACATATAGGCATTTCAGAATCAAAATGTTATTATTACTGATTTGCTGTCCTGAACCAAAACTATTCTGGAAACTGACAATGCTTTACAGCAAAATTCCACGGAAAACAGACCAATCTGTTGTGAAAGTTTTAAATTTCCATATTACTTCAGCTTCTATGAATAAATTAAATAAGTAGGCAATCGTTTGTACATATGCTCTTTTAAAAACATGTTTGGTGAATTTGTAGATTATCTGGAATTTCCATCTAGTATGTGTGCCAAACTGTGTCTGACTGCCTAACAAGTCTGGTAAAACTTTGTTCAGTTAAAATACAATGAAGTTTTGGTAAAGCAATATATTGGGAAAGCTGAGAAATATATATTTAATTGTTATTTCACTATCATTAGGTCCTTGTTAAATATAAAAGAGAAAGTAGATATAATAATTGGGGAAAGATTATATTTTATTGACATAGCTCTATTTCCTGACAAATTAAGTTTGAAGTTTAAATGAAGAAATATGTCATAACATGTCATCAGCAAAAACAACTGGCCTTCCAAAAACAAAAAAAGAAAAAACAAAGATATTTGAACTAAGCACACATGTAGAGTATCTGTAAAGAAACAACAGATCTGATTTACGCTGAATAAGTATTCTTTTCTCGTACATCCCTGGTGAATTCTAGGCTGGTACAGTGGAAGTCATTTCTTACCTAATACGATTTACACAATAGATTTGCCATGAGAATAACAAAGAACATGACATGAGTCAGTATGATAAACATGGTGAAGTGGAAAAATGATGACGTTACCGATTCTCTGTACTGTTACAATATTCCATTTGTCTTACATGTTTGACAATGGTTTTACAAGCTATCATAAATTGTAGATCAAATCTGTATGGATATAATGTTGGAATATCTTGTTTTGACTTATAAATATAGAAAGAATTATTGCCTCTGAAGATTTCTATTGAGGTTTACAAGACGTACAAACTTTTACGAGAGAGGTCTATATAATGCTTTGGTGTGCAAACACCACAGATAATATCCTACTCTTCCCACGACAGCTTCTATGTATAAATATCTCCATCAGGTCTTAAATACATCTAAATCTCTTCTAGATCACATGCAGACCTAATTAGTAACTTGGGAAAACACTTAAACCTGAAGATTCTTATAATTTCAATTAAATTATGTTTAAACATTTTTGAGACGTTTTGAAATCAATGTGTCTCTGACTCTCTTTATATGATTAAATTTGAACAGAAAATAAAAATTGCTCGAAAATGTAATGGTTTGGTTTATTGTTGCTTTACGTCCTTTCGACAGCCAGGGTCATTTAAAGACGTGCCAGGTTTGGATGGCAGAAGAAAAACTACTGACAACAGTCAGCACCTGGCAACTGTCCCCATGCAGGCTCCAAAACCATGGTGTGTCCAGGCATATAACATAAATTTTCTGATATTTTGCTCTACTCTAAATGTTTGCTGGGTCTTAAATTTTGTGCTGTCTTTGAGGACTGCGAAATTTGATACTACACAGTATATTGACTTAGCTCTATCTAAAACTGAAGGATTACGAGATGATGTAAAATAAGATCTTTTGTCAGCCCATCATAATAATGAAATGTTTTGCCTTGTGGCTATGGCTGGGGCTTATGGGCTCCATTGATTCTGTACAAATTCTATTCATAATTAAATTAAAAGGAAAAATGATAGAAGTTACTTTGATATACTTATACAGAAACTATGATGTAATTGTATAAAAGAAACAGAGAAACTGATATTAACACATGTATCCTTCAAAACAAATCTATCCAACACAGACAAATTAAAAGACAATTTTTCAGATCTACATGACCACAGCAAATTATCTTTCTACAAATTTTCTACAGTAATTTATAATTTTTGAAACAGAAATCCTTCATCTCCATGTCTCAGCACCAATACTGTCCATAACTGATGTGAACTTTTATTTATTATCACATTTCATGTGTGGACAGTTTGACATCATGGACAACAACCATGGAACAAAACCATCATTTGAGTGTAAATGAACAAACAGACTTATTATAGAGAGCAGGAAAGTGAAGAAAAAACATTGAATATGGCTTGTAGTCTTGTGGTGATCAGGTAGAGGAAATAATGAACAATTCTCCATTATGATGGATCAGCATGAAATTGGAGTGTCGTGATAATACCCCATTGTGGAGAGTGATGTGAACATGCAAAGCTGTTAGATTGTACCACCAAATGATCTCTGGCATACTGACTGCTCCTACGACAGGCAGTCCCCACCATCACTTATGACAAGCAGTCCTCACTATCACAACACATACTTTTCCCTTACAGCTCTATAATTGCTCTAGTGTGAAAATGCCAAAGCCCATTATTCACAGAAATGTGTTTTTGAAAAGTCAGACTTGATGGTAATAATAGTTGCCAACACTTATAACTCTTTGAAAAATGAAAATGGGACTTTTAAAGTGTGCAGTCATACTAAAACACACTAAGACGGCTAAGATATTAGATTTTAATAGAAAATAGAAAGAAAAGTAGCTACTTCCCTGACAAGTTCCACTATTTCTATATTTCATACTCCAAAGTTTTACACCATTATAAAAATGACTCAAGTGGACCAAGAATACATTATTATCAACTTGGAAAAGTTCTCAGAAAGTCTTGCATGACCCAAATTGGATTTCATACATTCATATTCATCTTTCCTACGAAACAATGTACAGCAATCATTGGCCAAAATCCTTTGGGGCCCAAGGGAATTGGTAACAACAAATGGCTGACATGATTGGTTCACAGTATGCAATAAGTGGACAGAGAGCGCCCTGAAGACTGGAGAGTTCGTGACCATACACACTGACTCCAGCCACCAATCTTCTGTAATAATTTGTCTTGATGGTGTCATTTTTAAAGGAAATTAAAGCCAAACTCCCCATCCTATATATATCTGGTTTGGTGAAGTGTTAACAGACCTACATGTTTCCAAGCATACCAAAACCAGTTTACCTCCTTTTAATTATCACACAAGATTTCCACTGTGATGTCTTATTATTGCATCATAATTAAGCATGGTGATGACACCAAAGTGAGGGAATATTGCTGATTTCAAGGTTTTTTTCCACTCACTTGGAAAAGGGCCTTTTATCTCACTTTGGGAAGAAAATTGATCTATTGTGAAGGAAATGTTTAGGAGTAAACTGTTTTGGAAATTTTAAAATAAATCTAATTGGAAATGGGGCCAATATTCTGCCCCAATGGGCTCCCAGAAAAAAACCCTGAAATTAGATTTTTTGATCAGTGTATAATAAAATCCGGTTTCGATAAAGGCTATGAGATTCATAAACCGGTAATTATCATTTCACCTTGACTCTGGTAAAACCAAATAATCTCTTAAGGCCAAATGTTTTGTAAATCTCATCTAACTAAAAACTAATGAAAGATACTTTATTTCTTTAAGTTAACCCTCTACCTGATTAGGTAATTAACAGCTACTGTTAATCAGCAATTAACACAATATTGATATATTTTGAAGGAAAATGTTGTCTAACTTCCCTTTCGGTGGCCACCTCTAAGTTCCAAGGGGTCGAATCAACTTTCTGAATTTAAGTAATGATTCTCCACCATCAAAGATGTTTAGGACCAAATTTGGTTGAAATCCATGCAAGCATTAAGGAAGAGTAAAATAGCATTTAAAAATTAATTGCTATATAAATGGACAAAATTTATGAAATCCTCAAGCATTAGTGATTCTATACTGTAGTGATTCCAAGATAGAAGATGAGATAGAAGTATGAAATTACAAAGACACTGCCTATGTATTCAGTTCTACCCACACAATCTGTCTATACAAAAAGGAATAAGTACTATGAAGAAAAAATGAACATTGCTAATTGATTATCTCAATTTCATTTTATCAATTCATTTATAACCAAAGACTGGTTATACTCATAATCTACCTAACATTAAATCTACTCTTTTAACTAACATTAAACCCACTCTTGTACCTAACATTAAACCCACTCTTGTACCTAACATTAAATTTACTCTTGTACCTAACATTAAATTAAGTCTTGTACCTAACATGAAATCTATTCTTTTACCTAACATTAAATCTACTCTTTTACCTAACATTAAATCTATTCTTGTACCTTACATTAAATCTACTCTTGTACATAATATTAAGTAACACTTGAGTATGTTGCGGTTATTTTTTCCTCTCTATAAAATATCTAAAAAGAACTTAATGTAAGTATAAAACTTTCCTTCGGTACATTAGATAACAAATAGAATACAAATCAGACAAAGACAATATTCAACAAGATGCCATTGTAGACTTCATTCAAGTAACATGAATGGATACCGTATAGGTCCATACATGAGGATACTAAATAATAAATCAGAAAATATAAGCTTACAATATCTGATGGTGTCAGTAGCTGAAATTCAATCCTATACAGTTAATCGGAACTTTTTGTGAAATTCAACACTCCAAACAACTATTTATCACCTAGCACAGTTTGACCTCATTCAATCATGTTTGATTTGAAATTTAATATTTCAG